TGAAAAATTTGTTCAAAGCATATTGTTGTCACTTTGACGTTGATGGCTTTTTACGCTGAGTTTAGCTTGTTTGTTGCTTCACAAATTACCAGATCACTTTTGATCGGAGCATTGTCTTTTTGGGTATGGTGGAAAGAGGCAGTGGTTGTGTTCTCATATTCCATGCCCCAGATCGCACAAGACAGTACTTAGTAACCCGGTTGGTACAAGAGTTTGAACATCAAACCAGGAACAGTGATCCTTTATGACAAAATTTCACTGTATTTTAATCTAAACAACATTGGCTACACACATCTCATGGTCAAACAGGCTGGAGAAATTATACCAAAAAAAAGAACATGTAAAGTTGACCTGTAAATTCAAATGAAACTCTTTTTTTCACTACCAACCTGCAAGTTTTACCAAAAATGTTTCCCACCAAAATGAGGCCTAGTATAGTAAGTGCCTAGAAAATGAAAGTGAAAATGGGATAAGATATTGACCTGATGGCATCTCCATGATTGACCCAGAAATAAATAAATGGCTTGACTAGCTTAAAATGATACTATTCAAAATTTCAAGGAGCAAATGGGTTAAATCACTTCAGCTCTTAAAGTTTTATTCTAGATTTTGATTGGTGGCTTGTTTTATTATAGTCTCTCTGGGGGAAAAATGAAGCAAGAGCCATTCAGAGATTGCTCTCTGGCATGTAGTGGTTTAATATAATTCTCAGTACTTTTCTGAGAATCATCCCTGTACCTTTTGCATGAGTTGCCCCCTTCCTGTATACTCAGGTCAGGTGACAGGCAATATATCAACAGAGTGGATACTTTCTCTGTTAAATCCTATAAGTGAACTTCCAAAGAGCAGTTATGCCATCAAATTGTTTTCTTGTTCACACATCCAAATGTTGTGAAAAGTCCTGTCATTTTTCTGTTTGTATTCAGACAATATTTACATCCAAGTTGATGCAAGATACAAAGATCTTAAAGATGCATTTGTTATTGGCCAAAGCTGGTAAGGTATTTTTCAAGTACTGTTTTGGATATGGAGCAACTCTGTGCGCTCATCAAAGGAAATAAAAAAATAGTCTCTTATTGTCATTCCATGAATGTTTTGTATACGAGATAGTAAAGTGTATATAGCCAAAAAAGCATGTGGTGCCAATTGGTTATAACTGTAATCACCTCATAATCCAACAAGCATGAGTGGAATGTAATGATTTACTGATAACTTTTTAATTTATACTAGTCGAACCTCCATGTGCAACCACCTCTCATAAGCAACCACCCTCCATAAGCATTTTGGGTAGTTGCTTACAGGAGGTTCAACTGTAATTCTCAGAAATGAGACTGGAAGAGACAACTGACTCAAGCTTATCATAGACTGTTCACAGTCCTCTATTTTTCCGTAAGATCATTGAGATCGAGCACTTTGTGTTACTGCTGCCATCTTGCATGAGCGTCAAAACTACTTAGGGGACGGGGGTGGTTTGGGAGGAAGCGAGGAAAATAGGGGGACTGTTATAACATCACTGCAGCTCACGTTTAGGAGGCGTGACAGGAATTTCACGCCTTTTACCATTCATTAATTAAGAAACTCTACTGGTGATGAAAAACATGCCAGACGCATTTAGCATCGATTATGCGTTTTTACAAAAATCTCCAGTGATTAAAAAAAATGCCTGCGTTGCTGGTACAACGTGCTCCGTGAACGCAAGCTGCAGAGATGTTATTACAGTCCCTCTATTTTTCTTGCCCCCCCCAGAGCTATAATCCTCGACGCCCACCCCCTCGGTACATTTGAAAATCAAGATACCTGTGACAGTAAGACGCGGTATATCTAAACAATGTCACGAAAAAATAGGGGACTGTGAATGGTCTAAGCTTGTCAAGGCAAACAGACCAAGAATGAAAAAATTAAAGTGTAGTGTAAATAACTTTAAAGAAACTATTTGACCTTTTCACATTAGAAGCTGAACAATAAATGTTTAAACAAAAGAACTTGTGCAATGCTTGACTTTGTTTGAAACTTTAGATTGATGTGTTTGATGCGGGTTCATAGCCTGTGTTTGCATTTGCTTGTGGTTCCTCTTTGTTGGCTGAACACTACAGATGGTTTGGATGGTGCTGGAAATGCATTCTAAGAGGTGCAGTTCCCCACCCCTCTAGAAACTCGTACCTTTGGTGCAAGTTTTTTCCTTCTCCACCTACTCCAATGCTTTTGCCACCTACTTAGCATCTCATTGAAAACCCTGTTCTTTGCTGTCGTTTTGCATGACTACATCATGAAACTTCCAGCAACTTCTAGTTACACGTTGTATGGACCAAATTTCATGTGTTCTTATTTACTTGTTTTGTTACTGCTGCTCATTTTTACCTTGGTGGCCGCTAGCATTTCTCATTTTCTCCCCACTGCTATAAAATTTTCATGTTGTTCTTCCAACAAAAAATGTCTCCTTTGTAATTTTTTCTCTCTCTCTAGCTCTATGTCACTCTTTTTCCTGTTGAGCTTTGCTAGCCAGTCTCCTACTTTCTCTTTTTCGGCTCTGTCTTTCTCTTTCTCTACATTCCAAATTTGTGGACATGACAATTAATCTAAGCTTAATACTGCATGCAATACAGATACAGAAACAATTTCGGCTTTCCGTTTTCATCTTTATTAGGGTCCGAAATTGCGCCTTCCTGGTCGCCAATGCGACTAAAAATTCAGTCCTGGCGACCAGAATCTCAAAGCTGGTCGCCAGCTAGCAACTTGTAAAGCTGGTTGTTATTGTGGACTTTAACGTTCGGAGAAACTTCGAAGCTATTTGCCAACAGGTGTCTTACTTTTGTCCTGCTGATATTTTTTAATTGAAAATGAAACGAATCTTCCTGTAATGATACCTTTCCAACGGCTACGATCAATACGAGTTGCACGTTTCCAAGCCGTCATGTTGTTTTCCATAGCTGAAATACAGTAAGTACGTTATGTACTTTGTGGTCTGGTACGAGCAGTGTGGTACAGTTGTGGCCTGGTATGAGCAACATGGCGGCTTAACTCGTGTTTATGTTTCGTGTTTCGTGGTAGTTATGGGAAGAAAATAGAGTTTTGATATGATCAGTGCAGTCATGGGCAGACAGCTTTCTGTTCCTACGTTCTAGGTCAGATAGCTTCATATCTCCAAAAAGTAATTTGTGGAGAAGAAGTGCAATTTTTGAGCATAAAAACGTCCATACCATGCATTTTTTATTGGCGTTGTAACTTTTATTTGAAAAAAAGGGAGGGGGGATTTTTGGTGACCACAATTTGCCCTCTGCCGACCAAAAATTTATACTTGATTTGCCAGTTGGCGCCCGTATTAAAAAGTTAATTTCGGACCCTGTTTATTGATTTCGGTTGTCTCTGCTTCACAAGATACAGGTGGCTATGCAATTTCCTGCCAAAATAACCTTGAGTTGCATTTGGGTTGCCATACATGTTGACTGAGTTATTTTACATTGGTATGCCTGTGGTGCGGACAGACGGTGGGCGAGCAGACGGTCATGTGATTACCAAAATTTCTCAGATGGGTAGATTACCACATTTTCTTAGGTATGGGGCTTAATGATAAACAGAAAGGCTAGCAGAAATGTTTTCCCTGTGTGAATATTTTATAAGAAATAGAGTTTTTTTCATACTAATCCTTCACAGATTGCCCAGTAGGCCATTTCTGAGCTCCAACTCCTTTGATTTTTAAAATGATGCCAAGTGCAAAAATGATCAAAAGACTGTGAACTTCCCTCGATGCTTTTAAAAGGAGGCTCTCAGTGGCAACATGGAAATGGCCTATTTTTAGTGTGCCCAACCTTTACTCATTTTCTCTTTTTTGTAGGATGAATATTGTGGAAGTATGCCTAAACATAGTGACATTTATTTTGGTGAGTGAAGGAACAACCATAAGTAACAGTCACAGGCAGCCCAGTTTCACAATACAAACTGTTCCATACTAAAATCCATAGCCTTGACAGGAACAAAATGTATGTGTATTTTTGGAAACAGTAGCAAAGTGTTCCAGATGAAATTATATTTTTTCATTTATTTTCGTTATTCATGGGCAGATTCTCAGCCAAGTAGTTTCCATTGTTTGTTTCTATTAATATACGTTTACTGATCTTGAAAGAATTGAAGTTCTTGGGGTCAAAGATGGCAGGGGAGTAGTGTGATCTGGATTGAAAACTCTGTTTGCGAGTCAGACCAAAATGTCAGTGAAAATTAAGCAGTGAAAGATTTTTGACACAACACAAGTTGCAGTCAGTTCTTGGTTACGTTTGACCTTGAACCTAATGTCTTGATGACCTTGATATCTCAAAGCACTTTGTATTTGAGAAAGATTTATCTTGTATGTTTCCTCTAAATTTTTTCTCTTGGCTTGAAATTTATACATCTTTAGAAATGTATGATATATTAATTTTGATAGCATAGTTGAGCCATCCATTTTTTAAATTCTTATTTCATCAACCACCATGAGTTTTGAAGTTGGTTGATCAACAATTCATTGCAAACACTTAACATGAGATGTAACTAAAAAACATTTTTGATAATCAAGTTGGGTATCCTGTGGTAAAAATAAATGAAAATGAATGCTTGGTTTTTTTAAAACTTTTTCAACATTATTGCATGGATTACACAACATACTGTATATATATTTATTATTATTATTTTTTTCTTACTATTTTGACAGCCCATGTGTCTCTGGGGTGGATCCAGGGGTGGTTCGGATGGTTCGTTCGAACCCATTAAACCGAAATGACAATGTTTAAACATTCAGCGGTTTCTGACAAAAACCTTTGGTGGACATACATTGCTAACAAAATTAATACTATATGTTTAATCTTTTGAAAAATGACTGTGATGAAAATGAAAAACGTTGACAGAGGAGAGTCATTTCCTGCTTTTAAATGCCCTGTTGATTCCATTTTTGAAGAAAATCAGAAGTGATTTTTTGAGCACATGGCAAATACAAATTTATAACCGGTGTTTCAGGTTTCATATTTGTTATTGGTCTCAATCATTGTAAATTTTTAAGAGTAGTTCATGTGTAAAATAACTAAAAAAGGGGTCGTTTCAAAGGCATGTGACAATCTACAATAATTGGCTAATTATTATCCTTTAAACACCTGGATCCACCCCAGTGTCTGTCCTCAGAAATTAACATATTGTAATGTTAAGCTATCACACCTCTTTTTCAGCACAGAAAATCCAGTATAATGTCTGTCATTTGTGGGATTGTTGTAAGCACAATGACCTGTGCCAAAACTATTCTCTTCACACTTATGGCCACACAACTGTGTACTGAAGAAGTCCTGTTTGAAAATGTGGATTGGCCTATTTTTGCTGGGTTGTTTGTCATTCCAAATTCAATTTGGATTGTAGTGCCATTTCTTTGCATTGTTAAATTAAGCTCAACAGTAATAAACAACACGGAGAAGCACAAAAAGGAGGCATAATGTGACTAGTGTATTGTACAAATTGTAGGCATGAAACAGCGGCGAGAGTGAATTTGTGTGTACATGACATGGATATTACAGGCACTAGTTCACCACATGTTCTACATTGCACCTATGTGTTTATAACAAAGAACTTAAGCATGCCACTTAATTTGAATATTTAAATTACATAATATCAGAAAGGTGTGGTTGAAGTATCTGCATACCATTTTTGGTTTCCTCATTAGCAGTTTGAATTTCAATAATGATTCATGATTCTTAACAGTATTTAAGAGAAAGTTTTTACATGCATTAAAGGCCTTTCCTTAGCGCAGGTGTTGCAAAAAAAGTAATGTCAGACTCAGAGAGAACTAGGCAAAAAATAATAACCAAAAAAAACCGGCCAGAATTATATAATTGAAATATCTCAGGATGACTGTTACATGTACTTATAAAATGAGCCACCCCCTGCCTATGTATGCATTCCTTGACTCCCTACCCTTTAGGATTTGGATAGCCTGTGTGGCAGGTGCCGGTTAAGTGAGGATGAAGGGAAAATTTCAAAGACGTGTGTCCTAGTCAATTCAAATTATTACCCTCTTCCCATGTTTTTATCAAATTAAAGTTGTTCAGATTTGGTCATAGATAATCAGTGTGCAAAAATGTTTGATGGAACTTGAGACATAATTTCACTATCAGTCAGAACTTTTACCTAATGCATTAAATATAACCTAATAACTGTAGATGTACACCGTATACAGAGGCCAGTTGAACAAAACTTAACGTTACAACATACATGGAATTATCATTCAGTATGACTGGTCCTTCCTTCAGGTTAAATAGGCTTTTTATGAACAAAACGGAGTTTTAGAGCCAATCAACATCTTTCTTGCCATAATAAGGGGAAAATAAAATTGAGTACCAGTAAGCACTTCCTGATGTATCTGAACTTTGTGCAAAATAAAAATACATTGTTCAAGGAGTTACGGTATCACTGATTTTCTCAGGTTGTAGGAAAACAGCTCCAAATTCCTTTCTGTTGATGTGTTGATCTGGGGAACTGGGTGTGTTAAATAAGTTGTCGACACAAAACACATTTTTTACAGGTGCAGCATATCTCTTTAATATTCATCATTTTGTCAAGTGGGAAATAAATTAATATGATACTCCTTGTTGTATACAGCTTTACAATAAAAATTGGGTGAGTACTTTTTTGATTTAGCTGCATGTGTTTGAGTTCTTTATGATCCTGGGAGAGCTTTTGTTGGCCCTTTGTACATACTGTGGGTCTATGCAGGTCCAGTCCACTGTGAGAGCCAGTTAGGGTCATGGTTCTCTTTCCGATCTTTAACAGCAATGTTTTGCAGTTTTCTCAACAAGCTTTCCCTCTCTGAGATAAATGGAGAAGAAAAAAATATATATATATATAATTATTACTTTTTTCCTAGACTGTTCATGGTCCCCTATTATTTGGTAAGATTGTTGAGATCGAGCACTTTGTCAGGGTCGTCACTAAGATTTTAAGTTGCTGGGTAAATATAACAAGTAGGTGTGGAATCAAGCAGCTAGGGGTTTCTTCTGGTTCTATTTTTCTTCTATTAGCGAATGAAGTAAGCTGGGGCCACATTCCTAGTAGCTGGGGGAAATCCTGGCCCCCGGCTCTTAATAATAACCCTGTTTCTGTTATGGGCAGGCCACAGCCATCTTGGATAAGTGTCAAAACTACTTTTAAAAGGCAAAGCGTTTGATCTTGACCATCTTACAGAAAAATAGGGGACTGTGAACAGTCTACTTTTTTCCAGACGGAAAACAGGAAAATGCAATGTTGTAAATTGTATCAGGTTATAGACAGGTACACTTATCTGTCCCTAATCTGTGTTATAATGTAGCGTATGTGGCATGTTGCAACAAGAAGCCAGTGTTTAGCTAGGAAAAGCACAGATTGAGAGTGGAGAACAAAAGTGAGGGAGAAAGGAACCAATACTTTCATTGTCATCACCCTTCACATGTCTCATTAAGTACCATGAATGCAAGTATAATAAGTAAAAGAACAAAATTTTCTATTATTTTGTGTTAGTTGCAAAAGCATAAAAGACTGTTTTGTTACCATGTGGTTTTGCGGTTCTCAGGTATTCTTCCAGTGCTGGAATTGGGCCTGATTTAAACCTTCTTTCTTTCTCCTACAACAAGCAAACACAAAACAGTAAGCATGGTTAGGCATGGCATATTTCAAATGTTAGATAGACCCTTCAACACCACTGGAAAGAGCACCTTAAAATTAGTAAAGTTGCCATAGTTTGAAAGTGATACATCTTAACCAAGCGAAGATACAGCCCCTCAAAGTTGCATAAATTTACAGAAGCTTGTATGGGGGGAGTTCTTGTACTCTGAGCTAAAGTCATGTGTTCTAAGCCAAACAATAATTAATCGACTTCAGGTTTGCAGGCTGCTCAAAAAAGCAAGATCAGTCCCTTCACTACAAACATGCAACAAAAAAAGATTCCAGAATCGATGCTATGTTGTAACTGCACTTTTATAAGTACCAGACTAGAGATACAAATATTTAGTTTTTAACAATAGGTCTTTGAAATCCTTGTCTGAGGTACCATTGGTTTTAAGGAACAAAGTAAGTGAGGTTTGAAGTGTGGAGATTATATTACAACTTTTACCATAACCTTAAGTGCAGCAGATTTGTCAACATAGTCCCTGGCGTAATGCGTCCTTCCATACAAGTGCATTTGAGGTGAATTATACAACACTGTAGGGACTAAAAATTAAACCAAACAACACTTTTTATTAAATGTCCTGTAAGGAAACTGAACTTGACACAGGCATTGGGGTGTCATCCCCTTTTCCTTTCCCCAGATCCTCATTCCCTGAGTCACGAGGTTCCTCACAGACAGCGATATAGGCAGAAATCATATGTATATGATGACAAACAAACTCATGGGTATGACCCTCAGTCCTCATAAAACTATATCTCAAATTAAAAAATCCTTCAGTATGCACCAGTCATCACCCCTCTTGCAAAATGAGGTGCTAGTTAATTGCAAAATTTAACCCGTTCAATCCCACCAAAGTAATAAAAATTATTCATTATAATTATTTAATTTATTTTTACTATTTTTGTCAGTTTATAATGCCACATGACAAAACAACATCATCATCCATTTTCACATATACAACAACATGTACTGCAAATTGATCATAATTTTTTTATTATTACAGGTTTTAAAGTTTAATTATTTTTTTCTATGTGTATCTGGCTTAGTGTGTCATTGTCTGTTGTTTTAGTTTTTTCAGTCCAGTACTTCATAGACCTTGTTTATATAGAGAAAACTTGTCTTTGGTAGAAGGGTCACTTGTCTATACCTTGACTACCCAGCTAGGCGAACCAATGTTTCCTACCCATTTCCTTACTAAACTTGGCAAACTGTTTATTACATAAGAAATCAACAGTTGGCTCAGCTAGATCTCTACACAGTACGCATCCTTACTGGAAGGTTGATTGACTCGTCTAGCCGGATCACCCTTTTTCGATGGTAGGGTCCTCCTCCTTGCTGGGCCAAATTTTCTCCATATAACCACTTTGGCTCACCCAGCCAGGTCAACTTGGTTTTGATAAGAGAATTAGAGCATGGGTGAGCACTGCTGTCAGCCTTTGGTTTGAGCAAAGTGGTAAACTTTTTTCTCGTACAAACGCTTGCTTAAGTTCACTCACCTAGCTGGAAGGGCGGCCCCTCTTTCCCAAGACAACTGTTATATAACTGTTGTATAAACGGGGGACTTCCCAGTTTAAGCAACCCCTATCATGGTTATCACAGGCAGCCAGTAGGCTCTTGCTGGTTTAATTTCAGTTATTTAGATATGTAAACGATTGCTAGGCCTGCCTGAAGAGTGCAAAAGTGTTGTTTTCTACACCCTTGTTACCTGCATGAGTTTCTTGCAGTATGCTTCTTTGGAAATAAAGCTGCTTAGGAATTGACCTGATGTTGTCTTTATTCACCTACCTGCACCAACAGCTGGTTTGTACTTATTCTTGTTGCATCCAAAACGACTTAAGTTTTCAGACATCTCGCCTTTCAGGGCAGGTGTCTGGTAGCTGTATCGTGATGTGGTATTCAAGGTGTAGGGTGGTTTGTACAGTGAAGGTACAAGATCTCCTTCAAATACTGTGCAGATATTCACACCTGCAAATAACATGATAACTGATGATTAAATTAATACAAACTGCAAGCTACATCCTGAAATAAATTACTTATATTACAGTAAAGTTAGAGGAGTTGCTTGTACATGTTAGAAGGCAAAACACTCAAAACAAAAAGTTTTGCACACCTGAAGTGTACGGATGGGTTCTTAATTAGGTTATTTTTTTCAGAGATGGAGAAGGTCTAATGAGATCAGTTTTTTTGAAGTGGGGTGGGGGGGATGTACATCCCTAGCCTGAATTTTAAAACTCTTTCTTTCATGTAGCATATTTGTAGGCTCAATTGCCAGATGCTTGGTGAAAATGAACGAGACTTGGAAGAGTGGCAGAAATTGAGCCATACCCACATAATTATTTTTTACCTTGTGGAATGCCTGTGTAGTCAGACTGATACGTAGATTTAATTTGCTCTTTAGAGACCTCGTTCATTGCCTTGGGACTTATCTCCTCATCAAGGAGTGATGGAAAGCGGCATGGAAATTTCCAAATCATAAAGGCCTGCAAAATATTATTTTCATAATAAATTATTATTTTATAGGTAGGTCAATCTAGTAGCCTTTGTGCAAATATCGGATGAGAGAGGGGGGTTGATTGCTGCCTGATGGACGAAAATATTGCAATGCAGCTGCTCTATGCATATGAGATTTATTAAAAAAGGATTGTTTTTAGTAGTTGATGTGTATTTCTGGTTGTTTCAACAACTGGACTGAGCATGACAATAACAGCTGTTTTGAACCTTCATTAAGTGGCCACCTATTCAGCAGCCAGTGATCGAAGTCCCAAAATAATTGTTGAAGAAAATTTTAAATTGAATCTCTATTAAGCGGCCACGGTTACCTTTTGGCCATCTGAAGGAGAGTAATTATCCCATTGTTGTCATCTCTATTAAAGGGTCATCAAACGTTGCATAAAACTAGTTTACTTTTTTAACACTATGACAAAGGAAACCACCAACTTTACCAACCAGTTTGTTCTTGAGCTCACCCAAAACAAAACTCCCGGCTAATGCAGGCTAGTTTGATTGATTTGTTAACTCTGCACAATTTTTAGCCTACAAAAACATCCGTTTCTCCTCGCTCTTCGCCGCTGGGGACGTTTCGTGCGGAGGAACGTCTGCAACTCAGCGACAGAAATTCCATACTGATGACGTAAAATGTGCCAGAATACGGTCAGAAGCGCTGGTTGGTCGACAGAGTAGTTACATTGTTTTAGCTAGCTATTGTTTACGAATGACAGTCTTGACAGACAAAAGACAAAAGGCCACAGAGGTCAAATGTAAATGTGAAGAATCTCTGACAAAACAGTCAATATTTGTGGAATATAGTCTTCTCTAGAAGAAGTATTTGAGTTTTGCTGGAGCTCTTTGGCAGATGAACACAACACTTTACCAAAATCAACCAGAGGACACATAAAATTGGACAAATTTATATTTGGAACCCCATTGACTCATCAGTATGGAATTTCTGTCGCTGAGTTGCATTGATTTTCCTCATCAAATGTGGAATTACTGTTGGAGAACGGATGTTTTGCAGGCAGGCTACACAATTTTTGTCTCCCTTTTTTGCGCCATTTCTCCAAGGTGGTGCTGTGCCATTAACACTTAAAGCCTATTCTGTACACTGTTGGTTAGGCCATTTTCATTTAGTTTCCCTAATGCAGCTGAGACTGATTCTGAAACCCAAAATGCCTTTTAAAACTGATCAATTTATTAACTCTGTTGATTTTTGTGCAACCTTTTTATGTGTTATATTTTGCAAGGTGGTGCTGTGTCACCAATACTAAAAACCTATTAAATGCCTATCAATACACTGTTTGTTTGGCCATGGTTATCTGCTTTCCCTACTCTAGCTTGAGAGTGGATCCTGAAACCCAGAATGTGTTTTACAACTGAGTAAAACTGCCCATCTACCCCTCCCCTAAGACAGTGGTAACACTTACTTCTCACTTAGGGCAAAAAAATAATACTGGCTTAGGGAAGATGGGGGGGCAGTTTCCCAATGGAAAAACGGAAATCTCATGATGTATTACATTACCAAAATTTGAAAAAAAAAATCATTAAAAAAATCATCAACAACTAAATGTTTATTTTTTTTACCTCTGCGGGGTGAGGGTTGTTCCTTCTGTTACCAGAAGAGCTTCCTGTTCGAATACCTTGCGTCCTTCGGACCTTCTTCTTATTAAAGTCAGTTTGATATGTTGTGAAGTTGTTATTGTCTCTACTTGGGAAGATCTTCGATGTATTTGGCCTGTGTGTTGAAAAAAATAAAGCCAGAATAAAACTATATCAACCTATCCCATAAACATTTATACGCTTACATTCCGTTCACATTCCGTTGCTAAGCACTCGACCGGTAGTTACCTCGCATTTTCTGCTGGATGTCCGAACTTTCCTCCGAATTCTCTCTTGTTTGTGGTCATGTAAAACAATTCTGGGTTCTTTGTATAGCTGTGTCGAGCTTTCTCGGAGAAACGGGTAGCTTGTGGAGGTACACTTTTCGGTCGTGTTGGAGTGCGCGCGCGAGCTTCTGTTCGAAAGAATAATACATGAGTGAGATAATAAGCATAAGCTTAATAACAACAAATTAGTTCGATAAGCTTCACTCTTTTTGACACTATTGCGCTTAGCACATTGCACCTGTTGAGTACCACGTTGCTGGGTCCGACGACGCTCCAATGTTATGCATAAGTTCTATGCACTTATGTTGGTCATCTTGTGATCCCGAAGGAAAATATCTTGCAAGGTTGTAGGCAAATCCCGGCGTCACTACGGATTCGTCCAACTGGAGAATTAAAAAGAGTCATGATTATTTTCTCCTATCATTATTGAGAAATTGATTTTAAATCTACGTTCTTGTCTTGTTTACTTGTAATACTTGCTCTTTGCTCCAAGCTTGCATTGGATTTGGGACGCCTTCACGTATAATTTGACGCGGCGCCATTGTTGAAGTCATTTTCAATCTCTGTCCCTGTCGCGCGAGTCGCGCGTGTTCCACATAAAATAGCGGAAATGCAATTCAAAGCGGAAGTCACAAGAATACCTCACTGCGTGCGCGATTTGGCTGATATATATTTTTTATTTTTATTATTATTATTATTTTTTTACTGTCGTTCACTGATATTCCGGGCAATAGCCTGGTATTCAACAATCTGTCAGTGCTCTATCAAACAACAACATTATGTGGATATAGCAGGATGGCTTTCATCCGTCATCTGAGGAAGTACATGTAAGTAGAAAAACAGTAAAATGATCCTCACGGCAAGAAATAGAGAAAAATATTCATAACAATAAAAAATAAATGGTAAAGTGTATTTGCTTATTTTTTTTCGTTATATATTCTCTCCGTGCGTTCTAGCCGTGAATAGTCAACATTTCGAATACCAAGAAAAACAGTAAATTACTTAATACGGCAAGAAGATTGAGAGAAACTATAATAATGGATATTTGTATTAACCCAAACCAAGGGAAATTATTCTCTCTTGCCCAAACACACTCGGTAACCATTTGATTTTTGTTTATTTTTTTGTTTATTTTTTTCTCGCATTTCTAATCTATTTTAATAGTTTACATTTGAACAGAAATTCGTTAGAGAAAGTTACCAATTTGTTTCAAATTGGCCTTTTTCGATGTAAAATAGTCAAATTTACCAAATTCAATTCCTAAATAGCTAGCTAGTTACATCAGATTAGTCGGAAAATATGGCCTTTTTGTTGCCCTTCAGCCATTCTTATGCTAATTAGCTGAACACAAGTCCAAAGAAGAGGAATTGGTGAAAAATGCGGTTTCTCGCTAGTAAAATGCCCGTGGGAGGGCGGGGGAGGATGTTGAAGTTTCTATTTGATCGTTAAATGAAACAATTTAAACAGCAGTGGCCCCGCGCACTCACTCTCGCCATGCCCCTTTGTGAGCCACGCAGAGGGGAGGGACAGGAAGGGACTCCGATTAAGTCCGCTACCCGAACAATAATAGACTGTTCACAGTCCTCTACTTTTCCGTAAGATCGTCGAGATCGAGCGCTATGTGTTACGGGCCGTAACGGGCTATAATCCCCGACGCCCGTCCCCTCGGTACATTTGAAAATCAAGATACCCGTGACGGTAAGACGCGGTATATCTAAACGATCTCACGAAAAAATAGGGGACTGTGAACAGTCTAGAACATTAAAATCAAAACAGCGGGCCGACTGGAAATTTTGTTAATCAAGTGATACGAAAAGCACCAGCTTTAATATGGCTATCAGCGAAACCGTTTGATTCACTATATGGATCTCCACGTCCGTTATATTGTCGTCGTGTTGGTTTCGGATGTTGCTTAGTGAGTGAAACCACGCCTGAGTTTAAGTAACTAACACTGCAGTTAAAAGTAAAAATAGTAAAATGGGGCGGGGAAGTAAGTAAGTATTCGTTACTGATATTAGTGACTAAAAGATTAGACAGAAGATAAAAGAAGTGCATGAGACCCCACTCATTCCGAGTTCAGCAGTCCCCTAAAGTCCTTATATGAAAATATTTTGGAAAAAGCCGACTGCTAGCCGAGCGGAGCGTGATCGGGAGTACTGCGCGCCTCTCTGATAAAAGCGAAACACCCAGCTGTGATATGATCCGCAGTCAAGGAAGTACTAAGAAAGAGTGGATGTACTAGATAAAGCTTAATATTTGAAGGGAAGAAGTTGGAGAAGACTAAGAGGACGATGGGTCCACGATGGGAGAATTCAAGATAATATGAAGCCACAGGACAGACTGGTAGTATGGTGATAAAGACAGAGATGCGGTCCACTAAAATATGGGAGGCTCCGAGATAGTCGGGTCCGCGAAATTGAGAAAGTGCAAACACGAAAACAGAATTCCTACATCACGCGCTTTATATTTTCGCGTACCTTACACTCACGCGTCATCCTACTATCTGAGAGCCTCGAACAGACTAGAGAGGCAATAGCACACAAAGAGAGCCGGCAATTGGTCGTTTTCATGCAAGAGACGTTTCAGTCGTGTAGAAGTGTTTAACGTCTGAGACGTTCAAGTAGACTGGTGTAACAACGAGACGCACAAAGTAGAAGATAGCATTGTAAAAAAAAATAGAGTTTTCCTTAAAAAAAAATACACAGCTCTAACTCTTCCCACTTCGTCGTGTCTGGACGAGTTGGACATGAATGCGTTTCAATTTACGGCGTTCCGTTTTTAATATAGCAGAAGTATTTAACGTCTGTGGCGTTAAAGTCGTCTGTTATGTGCGTCTGAACGACGCAGTTGACGGAAGACGTTAATATCGTCAGACGTTTTTTAAATGCGTCAGTCTTATTTACCGTCTTTAGACACCAGACGTTGAAGTCATCTTATCACGACTTTAAGGTCTCTAGTATGAAAACGGCCATTTGTTACCAATTCGCATTTTCTGTTGCCTTGCAACTGTCATATTACCGGATGATAATATTTATATTTCCTCTGAGAATCTGTTTAGAATGTTCTATTTTACTTACTGGCCGGACTTAAACCGTTTACATTGATTCCGAAGATACGCACGAAGCGCCATCAGCCCCCGGCCTCGGAAACTCGCCAGATATTTTACTGTGCTTCAAAACTGATTTCCTAAGAAATGAATATTGTTTTCAAAAATTCTGAACGTTGCTATGCAAATTGCAGTGAATATTGTTTAACAACAGTGAGAAAAAGAGTCTAAATAAGTGGCGATAATGAGACTCACTTGTGGAAAAGTGCGAACAGCCCAGACTTGTGCCATATTTACCGTGGATCCTGTGACTATGAAGGACTTCTTTGCAAGGTTTGTGAAACCGAAGGCGGCCGGTAAAGCTGCATTCACTCTCTGGAATCCGCGGATCACTAACTGCGTGGGTTACCGCACAACCAACAAACTTGATTGGTGCAATACTTAAAACAAAACTGTGGGAAGGCTGATTTGCTTTGATCTTGTTTCTTTTTTTAGCTTTTGAAATGTTTATAAACAGCGCACTGATCCAGCGAAGAAACTTAATTGCACCACCTTACTTATTAATTTTGAAAAAGAAACCTTTGTATGCAGCAGGGTTTTAAGCTAATTACTGTATTCACCTTTGGAATAGCTTGATGAGGTTATCTTACAAAGTAATGCAAAAAGAAAAAAGTCTCCTTCTTTTCTTTCGTCTGTCTTTTGTGCATCTCGGCCAACCATCTTTGGCCTTTTTGGTGAATAATGAAAATAACTTGCTCAGGAAAGTTTACGACCCAAAAAAATGCCCACAAAATAACAAGCGACATTCAAGAAACAATATTCTCGATGGCCAATTAAAAAAAATGCAAAGCGTTTATTTATTATGTGCATAGTTACATACAACTTAAGAGTTGCGACCATATTAAACTAGAGGAGATGTTTCCGGGATTATTACTTTTTGGTTATTCGGATTTGCATGGGTTTACACGCATCAGGAAATCCTACAAAATCCATTGGGATACAAAGTATTCACCAAGAGGAAATATTCTCTCCTGGTAATCACTTAAGATTCAGGTCCGGATTCAACTCAAACACGCGACCAAATAGGGATGTTTTCATTCCGGATTAATGCATTTGCATTTTCATGAATTCGTGAACGAATCCGGTGACAAAACGGTCCGAATTCGTGAGAACCTCCTCTGACGTAAACTAGCCTAAGTCACTGACATGAAATTCCAATTTTACCAACGTTACGAGCCAGTTTGGCTTTCGTCGTGACTTAAGAGGCTATGTCAAGCAACTTGCTACAAAAAGCTATTACATGTCTTCGCATCAATTACACTACAAAAATAACAGCCTAGCCCTCTTATTTAAGACAGTATTTGCTACGGATTCAGGCAAGGATGGACAAGGATTGGCCAACTCTTTCAAGTTTTAATGCTATGCCTGCACAAATCACCCAGGTTATGGTTAGAGCTTCCTGATAAAATTTGTTTCATACCTTCATAACTCTACAGGAGCATTTTGTGTTTGGGTGCTGAGTGATGACTTCAGCACAGTCAGACTGATCTAAAACAGCAATTTCTTCATGACAAAGCCCCTTTAACTCTCTGGTTGCTCTACTGGAGATCAGGGTGCCGTGTATGGTTTCTTGAACTTCTCCTTGTCTGACTCTATCAATGGAGTAACATCTTCCTTCATTCTAAAAACTTCGAACATTTTAAAAGCTGCATTTAGGGGCACACCATACAAGTTCCTCACTATCACTTCCCCACAGACCCATTATTTATCTTTCAGAAACTTTAAAGCCATGTTTGTTCCTATTTTGAATTTTAAGTAAAAGTGCCTAAAAAAAGCCTCAACATTGCCCCCCCCCATCGGGAAACATTTGATTTTAGTCAAGCCCACATGATCAAGAATCAACCAATGGCAGTCCCTGTTTAGATGAGTGAAAATCTAGGAATATCATACAACTATCCCCCGAAGGGGAAGTGAATAGTGGTGGCTATACATGTATACCGAGACGCGATCGAAACGTTGGGGTATGTATCTAGGGCTATGAACCGACCCTGAGGGGGATAGTTGTTTTACTATTTACCAAATCAGTTGGATAAAACTCAAAAAGGAACTTTTTGTGAATAAAAGACGTCACTCTGTTAGAGTTTGTTTACGTTTTAATTGACAGTGTTTTGGGGATCATATTTTATTATTTTGTTGCAAATTCTGTGGGAAATTTTTTTTCTACTGGCCAGTAAACACCGACAAGCCAAATTTTGTCTTTATATTTGTTGGCGCAGCTGATTCATTTACCGCCAAAAATTTCATCTCTCAAAACTGTCGCGAAACAAGAAGACATTTTGAATCCCATCCCAAAAAGGTGAATATCCAAGGATATTCGGAGTTACGGGAGCCAATCAGAACGCGCAAAAATTGCTATCCACTGATTTGGTAAATACTAAAACAATATATTAGGTTTACACAACTGCACCCTTCCCCCCCCTCCCCTCCCCAACCTGCATAAATAAAGCTTCTCTCTCTCAGTAAATCATAAATCTGACTAAGTTTAGTTTGTAGTAAGAACGATTATACTAGTATAACTTGATCAACTGCCATAACCGGTGATAATAGGGACCTTAAGATACAAGTTGTTGTACAAGGTCAAGTAAGCAAACAAGTTTGCCATGTAGTTTTAGAAAACACAACCACCATTTCCCAGATGTGAAAATGGCATCACTTACACTGGGTAGCCTAACTGCATCTCCATGGTAAGAGGCAGCCTACCCATAATAATATATTGCGGTTACAGAAATGGGTAAATTAACTGTACCCGTATTGGGAAACAGGTTATCATAAGGTTAGTACTCTGACATAAAAATAGCCTGCTGAGCAACATTTTATATTGTTGTGTTACTGGTCAGCAAGCGTGCAAAGAAAGTAGTGTCTTATAGCCTGGGGCTAGTGGATTTTGCTATCGGCCAGTGAATACTGTTTTTAACTTGCCCAATGGACAAATGATTGTTTTTGAGGAATTCAAATAACAGAAGAACTGTGAAATCAATTCTGCTCATCAAGAAGCTTTTGGGGCTAGCTGAAATGACATCTGGCTAGTAAATGCTAGTTTCAGCTTGCCGAATGGCAAGCTGTAAAAATGATTTTCTTTGCACGCTGCTGGTAAAAGTGATCCACATCTAACAAAAAACAATGAAGCCATACTACAATGAATGCCCTGCCATGGCAAGGTTATGTCAGTTACCATCACCTAGTTTGTTCAATACTTCATGTAAAGAGCTAGAGAATGGAAGATCTGAGACACAGCATGAGCTCATACTAGCTGGGGTGGATGAGCTGTTTCTGAAATTGATCCTGCCTCTTGTGGTGGCACCTGAAAATAGTTGTTGAGGTTGCCTGAACAGAAGTATTTCCAACCATTATAACAAATAAGGCAAACCAGATACACCAATGGTACATATGCTAGAACATTCACAGTGTCTTTAAGGCCATCTTGAATGGCGTCTGAGGCATCACTTACCACGCTTGAACTGAAGATGACAACAAAGCACAAATTTGTGAGAAGAATAGCATCTAATGTATTCAACCAGTTGTAGCTGTCATTTTCATCAGTCTTGTAAGGACGAAGGTAAACGCAGGTTACGACAATAATAACACTGGATGCTTCTAGTATTGATCTCTTAAGTGATCCAAATGGGACATATAGAGCAATAAGCAAGATGAAAACACGACATATGAAATAATATGCCGCAAACCATCTGTATTCATCTTTGAAGCATTTCTGAAATGTGTCAAAGAACAATCTGAAATTGTTTAAGTAAGGTATGCGCCTCAAGAACCACGGGGTAAAGAGAAGGACCAATGGCAGAAATAAAACAAAAAACACAATCCAAAGACATGCAAAGATGGTAAATGGCAAGTGCTTTCTCCAATCTCTGATAAAGTCAATGTTACCATCTGCATACAACACCCAACTTCCATTGATGGGAACGTAGTGGAGAATACGCCAAGAGATCAAAGTAACATTTGTGTAACAGAGGACTAACAGGGTACAAAATGCACGGGAAACATTTTTGTTTATATAACAGGATGGACGGTACCTTCCTATTTTACCCACAGCAAACAGCAGGAGAAGAACATATGATGGAAAAATATAGTTAATACCAAGTTTATAAAGGTTAGTCATTCCACTGAAAAGGCAAGCTCCAACACCCTTCACTCTCCAGTTGGCCACACCAATGATGAATGTGATAAATGGATCAAGATATTGTCCCTCTTGTAAAAGAAATGTGATAATTTGATAAGAGTACAACCATGCATTGAGATAAGTTGTGAAGATGTCCAATTCAATACGTAGAACCCCCAAAACTAACAGTAATGTCATTATGAAAATTACCAGGAGAAGCCAGAGGTGACTATTAAGGCATTCTTCCTGGCAATGTTCATTACCTAAGTTCACAGAGTAGTGGTCCTTACATGCTCCACACAGGACACTTGACCCATTGCGGCCAGTGGTACAAATTGTTTTAGAATCATACAGAAAAGATGAGGCTCTACACACATCACTGCAGTAGTCTGGAGGACAAGGGTATGTGCTGAATTTATCATCCACAAATCCACCCCAATATCCACTCTTTAACATGACATGTTTGAAGTCACCATTGCACTTTGCTATACCAGCCTCCTGCATACAAGAACATGTCTCACCATCCTTTTGCTCAAAACCAGGATAACATCCTCTTAACATCACAGTTTCAGAGAGTTTATGAACAACACGACCAGCAATTGTACTGGCATGGACCTTGAAATCACTTCCTTGCTTTCCTTGTAGACTCAACTTGTTGATTTTGGGATTATCACCCTGAATCAAAAACAAATTTGAAGCTGTACCAAGAGTTACATTTCCATCAACAATGGTTACATTCACCACACCCAACACTGAACTGTTTTTCTCATCTATTAATTTGACAGTAGCATCAAAGCTCTCACTTGGAGAAACCATCCAGTCTAATATGTTTATCTGAATCATGAATGCATCAGTAGCAATTTGTACTTTCGAACTTTTATTTCTATCTAAATACAGAATTGTGTTGGGCCACTCAAGTGATTCATTGTTTATGCGAGGTTGATTAGCCCACCGACATCCGTCAAGAGTTGAGGCATACACAGAGTCACCACCACCAGTAGTATTCACCTTATTGCCTCCAAAAACTATTTTGGTTTTCCACTGAGTGACATTGTTGAGACTGAAGTGGTTGTTGTAAGCAACGAAGCAGGTACGAGTATTAAGTTCTGTGGTCTCAAAAGCTACCACAGGTGGCCCAGAATCCTTCACATAAATTGCTCCTCCACGCTCTGCCGCCGTGTTATTAAAAAAGTTTAGTTGACTGTGTGGCATAAGCATGATAACTGATGTGCCATACAATCCTAGAGCACCACCCTGACCTCCTATGTTGTATCTGAAGGTAACATGTCCAAAAACATGGACAACTGCATTTTCTACCACCATAGCAGTGTTGTTATTATACGCAATGCGATCAACACCTTTAAAAATAATTGGAGTTGAGAAGGAGTAGATTGCTCCCTGGCCAATGACTTGCTCATCTTCAGTCAAAACTATCATATTATTAGTGACATTGCAGTGCTCAAGAACAATTCTGTGGTTTAGCATGGGTCCCCTTCCATGCAAGTCACTAAGACCATTTATAGGACCTTGGGAAGCTAGTCCAATAGCAGAGCCCATTGTTGCAGTATTGTTCTTCCACACACAGTTTATGTATTGAACATACATACTTTCATCGTTAAAAACCTTCAAATAAGAACTGGTTCCATGATGTGACACTCCTCCACCTAATACTGCTTTATTGCCGTCAAATGTGCAATCTTCATGTTTTATTTGGTTTGGAAGTAACTGCTGCTTGTCACTTGTAGCAAGTGTACCACTCCTAATAGCCCCTCCAGCAAAATCTGCTTTGTTATTTTTAAATATGCACCTTGTAACTTCCAGTGTGTTGTTTTGTACTTCATCTTGATATTCAATGAAAATCCCACCTCCCCAAAGAGCATGGTTGTCTGCGAAGTTACAAAGACTTATCTCAATGAAATTATTTTCTGCAGCACCCTTCACAAAAATTGACACCCCTCCTCCTCTTCCAAAGGGAAAATGATGATCTCCATATGGATTTTCAACCGCTGCTGTTATGCTCTGTTTAGGAGCATGATTGTTTTTAAATGTGCAATTAGTGATGATGAAGGTGTTGTTGCTGTCAAATTCAGCCAAAAAAGATGAATTTTGATCAAATGGAAATTCTCCCCCTCTGTACGTAAACTCCATGTAAATGCCACCACCAGCACGTGCAACATTTGTCGAAGTGAAGCTTTCATTGTGACCATTACCTTCAAATCTGGAGTGAGATATCCTCACACCACCTACGTCATACATATTTATTCCTATCCCAGAACTGTTGATTATCCAGCACCTCTCGATGACAACGTTCTTGCAGTATACAAAAAAGACAGCCGAGTGAAACTGAATGTGAGCATTTAATTGCGCAAACGCACCACCAGCCGTGCTGTTGTGCAAGCCACCGCATCCATGAAGCAATATTCCACTGAGCCTGACGTTTTTGCTCCGTTCAAATGACAAGCTGCCATTACGATGACAGTCAACCTTCACAAAGCTCGATTCTCCATTTCCAGCTAAGGAAATATTTGTCTTGTTGATAAAGTGAAAATGTTTGGTTAAGTTATATGGATAATACCCAGACTGCAGTGATACATTTCCGCTGAACGAAGAATTCTCGACGTATCTTAGAGCATAGTCGAGAGTTCGACATGGAACCGTTTTTTCATGTAAACACGAGGTGTTATCCTTACCATTTTCTTGGGAAACTACGATGGTTGTCGCTTCTGGACGGAGCAACAAGAAAGGAGCCACGAACAACATTTTGAGACTGAAGGACAAGAACGAAAAAGAAAGTGGAACCATTGTGGAAACGCTACACATGATAACCACTGTACTCGTCCACGCGTGTTCTGAGAAATCAGGGAACTACATATTCCACAGAATCTTCCTCGTACCCAGGCCAGTTCGCGCTATCCGGTAAATCCGAGCCTTACCATCTAGCCTGAGATCAGGCGGTGTGCGTCACGAGATTCGACCAGGGCGGATAAAGGTTGGGCGGTGAAACGAGCGCTCCGCTCTTCATTTAATGTGTGATGCGGAGTAGGACTGGCACGAGCGCTCTTTCCGCGCTTCCGGTGCGCTTGAAGGCCGGCGAAATTTTCCTTTTTGCGAACCGGAAATCCTATTTTCTTTCTGTAATTTCAGGCTACAATGTTAAATAGATAAATTCGTTTCATAACAATATCAATAAACAGTTTCATATGTTTGTGTCTGTACGTCTATAGCTCAAACTTGTTGGTCGTTTAATGCCAATATTTGAGTTTAATTTGAAAGTGTTGAATACCTCCTCCTTCCACTAAATATCACCTAATCGTCTTTCACCGTTTCGTTTGCAAAAGCTTAACACTTCTTAACCTCAATTTTTACATATGTTAAAGGGGGGTAAATTTTATATAACATAACAAAAAATTAGATTGATATATATTGATATAGTGGCGTTGTACTTCTTCAAACTTTGCTTCTCGTTTGCAACGCGACATGGCGATTCGCGCAATGCGTTGCAAATCCGGCAACCGCATGTAAACAAAATTTATTGAGGTTAGTTGTAAGGTTTTTTCTCCGTTTTTCTCTCTAAAACAAAACAAGGTAAACAGCAAAAACTGAGGGGAAACTAATTTTGAAGTTTCGAAGAAACAGAAAGACGTATGAGATGTTTTTTCAAAATTAAAAAGAAGGATGATGGTGATTGAAATTAGCATAATTTCACCTTGCACGAGCTGCACGCATTTATAAAATACACGTCATCTAGTGATGAAACACGATCTGCTGTCTTTTAGTTTTGCCATGGATGACATGAAAGAGATTTTCCTTTGTGTTTAAGACAGTACTTAGTTGTTTTTATTTTGGAATAACATCGACATTGGAGAGTAGCAGAATGAAAATATAATTCAGTGGTAGAGTCATGGAAGTAATATAAGAAACCCTTTGAAAGAAATGTTTGTCTACTCCAACTAAACCTCCCGCAAAAAATAGCAACATTTGCCTCTCGGAGACAGCGTACCAGCACAAAGGAACGAGGAAGAAGTGCAAGAAAACAAATTATCAAGGCGCCATAATTCAGTGACAGCGGCAGTGTCTTATGCACAAACTACATCGCAAGCCCCGACCGAAGTCGAAAACAAGCAACATTTCTAAACATAGTGCCAGTCCACTGCATCAAACCTTTTTGCTCGGACACGCTCGTTTCACCGCCCTACCTTTATCCGCCCTGGATTCGACCAATCAGAATGCGTCATTTGCAGAGTGATTTTCGCGCTCGGAAAGAGCTGTTTTCAGAGGTATACGTGGTGAAATTTTCGCTTTATTCCAAGCTTGTGTTGGTAATTTCGACACTATACCGCCGTGGAAAGTTGTTGGAACACTTTATCTTAATAGCAGTTGCGTTACTTTTAAATATTTTGCTTTCTTGAGCGTTTGTGACAAGTTTGAATTGCTCGGTCATGTGCAGGCGGCCATGATGATTTGAGTGTTGTTTTTCCCGTTCTTCTTGGATTTATTGCAGGTTACTGTTAGCGGTTTTATAGAATTATTTTGGCCATCTTGTTACTTCAACCTTTCTTCTTTGCAAATTTCGGGCTCTACCCGGGTCTACCCCTGTTAGTTTTCCTGTTATGAGCCGTTGAAAGTGTCTTGGAATTAAGACATCGTCTCAGCCAAGTGGCACAACTCCCGGGAAACGGGCTGAGAAAACATGCCGAAGCGGAAGCCGACGTGAAGCGAGTAACGCCAAATCCAGGAAGAGTTTGTTCTATTTTAAACCACAAAAGGTAAATAAGTTTGAATATTGTAATAACCTTTGGAAACAAAACATTTTTCATAACCCAGTGCGGAAACTGAAAGCGTGACTTTGAAATATTTGCATGCGGTGTGTGCTACGTGTATGCAAATCTTTGTGTAAACTTATGTGAGGGAATATTAAAATTGTTATAAATCTCTACCAAAACACAAAACCATTATCAAAGACCCAGACAACATCATACAGGATTTTAAAACTGTGAGGTTAGGTTTTACTTTATAACAAAATCGATATACTGCGCTCACTTTAATGACCGCACAGACAAGATCGTGGTTTATTTCACTGTTTATTTCTGCGCTGTAGCTTCGGTGAAATTCCGATTGTGCTGCAGCTGTTCGGCTCTTTCGGTCTGTTTTCCCCTTGCCTGATAGAAGATTTATTTGCGCATAAGGATTTCAAACGGGCACTGTTTTCAAAATAATATAAACTTGTCGATGAAAATAAAATTGTTATGAGAGACGATTTCTCACCTGGCTGTTTGAACGCGCTCCCCCTGCTTTGCCGGTAACAAAGTCCATAAAATGTATAAACACTTCTAATGGACGAATTTTTTTAGTTAAGCAAATCCAGGTATGAACTACAGATCTCTTTCACTATGAGATAAAAACATACATATAAACCAAACAGTACATAAAATCTTATGACAAGCAGGAAATTAGTCGCCGCTCAAAGTCGGCTAGATCGCACGATCGTCTCCGAATCGCGATAAACTTCTTGAAATTGCTATGAGATCTTGAAAATTCTCGAAATCGTTCTCTTCCGTAATCTTTTTCGGAAAAGGCAGCAGTGTTTTGATCCCTGGGTTTGATTAATTTCTCTTACGAGATGCGTACTCGACCGTGTCACGATTGAAATGAGGCACAGGGTGTGTTCCTTTCGGCGAATCCAAAAACGGATTTTTGATCCTAGATTTGCCAGATTTCGCGGTCGAAAGGAACGTGAAATCCGAAATTGGATTTGTAACCTTGGTAACCTTTCGCCAACGCGTGCAATATGCACGACAGCCTCTCAAAAAATGACTTGTTTTCTATTCTTTGACAAATTATGCGATTATGCCGTGCGAATTTAGTGGTCGGCAGTTCGAATAGCGACGATGGAACATATAAACCAGACAAAGAAAGAAGCGCATTAAAATTGAAAATTATCTAAAGAATGTCGGCCAGTTTGATCCAGTTCCACGGCTCGGATTTTTTTATGTAACACGATCGAGTGCTTGTCGCGTCTACAAGCGAATTAGTATATGGATATTTTAATGTACAAGGAACAATCTTCCAGTGTTTTCAGATGTTTTGCGGCAAATGACAGCAACGAGGAGACTCTACGGCCTCTATGGGAATACTTCAACAGGAAATACCGCTGGATCATCTGACTAATTTCGGATCCACTGTGAATGGAACAGGGTAGATCACTAATCCGTTAATCTGGATTTGGATTCTTCGGATTTCAAATCCAATGAATCCTTTTTCAAAAAGGATTCACCAGATCAAAAATCCGGATTTGGATTTGCCGAAAGGAACGCGAAATCCGTTCTTAGATCCAAAATCCGTTTTTGGATTCACCGAAAGCAACACACCCACAGTAACAGTTTTACCCATGAACCTTTGTGGGTCGTGACGCACACTGAGATCATTATCTCGAGCCGAAGAAGCAAAGAAGCAAAAAATAAAAAATAAAATAACGCCTGATCTGAGGTTAGGTACCATCCAAAATCGCCGAGGACGACTGGGAACGAGGCCTAGGTTAATCTCTGTACTTGCTTGCTTCATTTAATTAACATTTAATTAGACTGCAAAACAGTCCGTATTTTTGCGTATTCAAGTACGCGCGAGCAGTCAAACAAAAGGTCTGGAATGAGGCTGAAAACAGAGAGCGAGACAGGGGAGAGACGGGCGTGTGAGGCTCGTGCGCTTCGCGCGCGTAAGACTCTTACGCCACGCTTTACCGATTTCTTTACTGATTTTGAGAGAAAAACTGACTGTTTTGCAGTCTATCATTTAATGGGCTATTGCATTTAATATCTGCACCCCCCACCCGGTTGAGGAACCATGGAATTCTACAGGGGTAAGTTATAAAAATTGATGATTTCTTTAGGGGTAGAGTTAAAAAGATGGAATTCTTTGGGGGTGAAGCCTTAATTTTCACAAAATTCTCCAGGTAATATATCAAACATGAGACGCAGTGTTTCATCACCAGATGAAACACCGAGAAGAGAGTTGAAAATACGACGCGCAGCGGAGTATTTTTGACGAACTTCGAGGTGTTTCATCTGGTGATGAAACACTGTGTCGAATGTTTGATATTTCTTCTCAAACAAAATCATTTTTGAAGGAGAAATTAAGGATGCAAATACTGAGCAGTTTTTCATCCGATTTCCAAACACTCATTAAACATTAATTTTCTTTGTATTTTCTTTATGAATTATTAATGAGTTTGAGAAGGGTAAATCCATATTCTTCAGGGGTATGACCCAATTCTTCAGGGGTAAACCCATATTTTACCGAAGTCTTCAGGGGTGAATGCAATTTTAGCCAATCTTAAGGGGTAAGAAGAAAAGGTAAGTCCTCATCCGGGGGGTACGGATTTTAAATGCAATAGCCCAATGAAGCAAAGAATCAAAATCTGTTATTGCGTTCGAGAAAGTGGAACGCCTACTATTCGTGTACCGTACACGAAGTAGTAACCGTTCTGTATGCCATGCGATTTGGTCGGCATTATATTCTACCCACCAAAACCACATCGATCGAGAGGGACTGAGATTGAATTTTGAATAACTTAAAAGTCGTAACCGAAGAATCTCGGAAAATGTACGGATCAGGGATGATATGCACGAACAACCGAACATCCGAACACTAGATCGGAGGTTCTAACCACTGAACCACCAGGGCTCTAGCGTTAGTGAAGTCGGAATTCTACTATACCAGCAGAGTGTACTACACTTCTGTACTGGGAGCTGAAAGAAAGAGAAAGGCTCGAGAAAGGCTGCGTCCATTTCACAGTTGTGGGGGTGCAGAAAATATATCAGGGGGGTACAGTTTCATGCATAATGACTGAGATGTTAGTAAGATGTTGGAAATGAGCAAAGCGGCGAGAACGAATCGCCAAGCTCGCTGGTAAGTGCTCGTTCTTTCTCACGCGGAGAAAAATCAAGAACAACCTCTGGAACCAGGGTAGCTAGGTGTAAATTGCAGCGAGCTTTATATTCCCCCCCCTCCCCACCCCGCAAGAAGAGGATTCTTTCCGGCATGGATTTTATCGACTATATTGACTTCCAAAATTATTTATGATTGATTTCCAAAATTCTAAATTTGTAAGACTTATTTTTAAATGTACATTCACAATGGCGATTTTCGCTGCCACCAATCATAATTACAATCACAAGCAACGAACCTTGAAACACAGAAACACACAGAACGGATCGAAATCCACCAATCACAAATCACAAACCTTGAACTTTTGAACCAGTTAAAGTAAAGTTTTGTTTCCTAAGAGGTCCGTTAAGATAATTGACAGCAGCGAAAAACGCAATCGTCAGTTGGCTTTTGAACTTCAGAATTCGCATGTTTATGAAAAGCGCAGTAATAGATGAATCTTAGATACACACCAATGTTCCCAAAATCTTTGTCCACTTTGAAGCAGGAAAACTTGATCGTCGATCTCGTTTCAAACTCTGCGATGAGTTTATAAACCTCTTGGACGGAAGAAACATATCCAAAATTCTCAGCAATATTTTCCTATCGAATGTGGTTTCGTAACTTAAAATTCCCGCCGTGATCTTCCTGTTTGTTTCCCGGGAATGATGGGATTTGGAAGGTCGCGAGTTCGATTCTCGCCCGGGACACGAAAGTTTTCGTTGCCCCGGACGAGCATGGGGCGCGATCCATTCAACCAAAATTTCCGGAAATTTCGGTCCAAAACTCAATGGATCGGTTCGGTCCAACCGGAAAAGTTTCGAAAAAACGGGTCCACCTTTTGAGGTGGACCACTTTTCCCGGTCGGACCGGTTGGAATTTTGGTTGAATGGATCGCGCCCATGGTTTCTCCTAAGTTCTTCCAAGTGAAAATGTTCACTGGAAGTGTAAGTGTGCTGCTCACAAGTGCACATTAATAATAATAATAATAATAATAATAAAAAAAGTAAAAAAATAAAATATTTTGCATGTGTAAACAATAACAACTTATATAAAAACCATGATTAAAATTTTCATTGTGTCAATAATCATTATGCTTTATGAGCATGGTCTTAAAAAGTCCGTCAGTACTTTGCAGAAGCGTAACTATGCGCCTAAAAAAATTAAAACCCTTGCCTCTTTGGAGATTTAAGAATGGTTATAGGTAAGGGCTCATATGTGCGGTCTGGACAGGTCGAGTGGTTTTGGTGGATGTAGACTTCAACATCCACCAAAACCACCAACAGTGTTCGGGGCTAGATGTGTATCACGTAGCCCCATGAAATATCTGAAACATGTTTTAAAACTTCATGTGCAATATTTGCCAAAATACAGTTATACTCGTTATATTCATCCTTTGTTGGCGAGAACGCTATCTCCTAAATATAATAAAGCTCAAAGCAAAAGAAACGCGCATCCCCGAGAGGCGAATACATCAAAACATCGTAGGCATCTTTCTTTGGTATAACATGTCACAAGGTGTCCAAAATTCAATCTCAGTCCCTCTCGATCGATGTGGTTTTGGTGGGTAGAATATAATGCCGACCATGCGATTTCACGGTTTGGACGCCATCTTGGACCGGCGGCACACTTTTTATAATAATACTTTGCCTCGATCTCATGTGTTCAGTTGCTCTCGTCCTGGAGCTGGTATTTATTTTGTGACACTCGTTCACAGATGAAACTTTGGCGTTTTTCAGCTGCAGATTTTCTGTTTACCATGCACAGGTTTGTTTACAGTTTTTCTGGCTGTTTTCAATTACGATTTTTTATCACTGGAAATTTTCCATTCAAAGATAATCGGAGATGTAAATATTATGTATCTTAATTTGCTCACTGTATTTGTTTTTATGGATGCAAGCAAGAGAGAATGATCATTCTCTTCTGATGCAAGCAAGATCAGCTTAGATCGACCATATTTGATTCTTTCAGATATTGCATCTTTTCGCTTTTAAAAGCTATTTACAGCGTTGTATTTGCTTTTGTTTCTCACCATTTATGAAAAACGTACATTCACTAATTTACTCTCACTAATTCCGGGTGCGTTGTATTTTGAAAACATCGTTAAGTAGGTGAGTCGTGTTAGCCTAGTGTCACACTGCAAGGGTTTAAGAAATAATTTTCTGCTAACTTGAAAACCTACCGTTATACATATAAGATGAAAACGTTTTTTATACTTGAATAAACTAAATGAGATGTTAAAAAAATCTCTTCACGCGTTATAATTTTTGCGTCCATTAAGATACACGTCCAATAAATGTGCGACTGCAGTTTTGGGTTTTTTCAATAATGAATCAAACTGTTACCTTGAAAATCTGTATCTGAACGACAAAGAACGGCAAGAAGTGTATTGTAATCTTTTTGAAACAGGCTATAGTAAAACGTTTCTTGTGCACATTTTCATTGTATGTCCGTAGCCTGAATTTAAAAAAAAAGGTCGATTCGCGAATTGAAAAGGGAGGCCATGTCGCTCTGTCACTATTGTATTTGTGATTTTCCTCGTCGCTGTCGCAGTACCAATCCATCTTCATGTCGCTTGTCGGAATTTATTTTAACCCTAACATGAACACGGCCTTTTCAAAGCTTTACGAAGCGACTCCGGAAGAGATCTGGGTACGAGATTCCGAGGGGCGAGCAACGAATCCCCACTCATCCTGCATTGCGTGATTTGCCCTGCGATTTACAAACTAAAAATTAGTATTGTACCCATTTATTCTAGACAATCCAATTGTTTCGTCAATTTATTGATCACTTCATTATCAAAATATTCAAATACACATCCTTATCATTTCACTTGAAATAAAATATCCGCGAGTAAAAAATTCATATTTACAATTAAAAGAAGTTATTTCTACAGAAAAATATAATATTTGCTTGTAAATCATAGTCTATGAATTTAACCAGAGCAGCAGAGGGCTTTTCTAAGAAACCAAAACATAGCCAACCTTCAACCTAGCGACTCCCCTTGCTGCAGTCACAACATTTTTATCATTCTGACAGCTTCTTTGACGAAGTTTGTCTCTGTCAGCCTCCGAGGAAGGTTTGTTTTTTAAATCGAATCTCACTAATCTCATCTGACATATTAAGGCAATTGGCTTTTGCTTATACCGAAGTTTTACTTCATTGTATATACATATACTTACGTATCTGTCTATGAATATATTGATGATCGGAATTATTGCAGAGTAAAGACGCCTTTCAAGCCGAGTGTCTACTGATAAAGGAATACCAGTATACAGCTATTTCGAGAAAGGTTGTTGGAAAAAATGTGCACTCTACGATCCCTGAAAGGTAATATGGGATATGATCAATACACTGTTCCTGACACTGTAGCTGTCGAACCTACTTTTGTTACTTTCCTTTAGCACTCGCAAACATACTCCCATGGCCTCTCCTGCCATTCTTTCAAGAACCATGAACTTAAAACCACCCACAATACCTTTCGGGATTGGCGCGTGCACTTTTTCCGACAACCTTTCTCGAAATAGCTGTTAACTGATTAAGGAAAATGAGCAGCTTCAACTGCCCCCCCTTTCCCCCCCTGATTCATTCTGGAGGCCTTCACATTATTGGTATGTGTTACTTTAACAAATACAATAAAAACGTTAACGTTGAATTATTTCTAACGTGGTCGTCCAAGGACAGATTTTTTCAGTATGTTACTGTTGCTGTCACTCATACCAACTTGGTCATTAGACTCTGCATTAGCATAATTCGCATGCTGCATCGCCGGCTCGTGTTCGTCTGTTGTAACATGAAAGAATCCTTTGGTGTTATCCTTAGACTCAGCCTCGTATGGTGACATCATAGCGAATCTATCAAGTTCCGCGTCATTTATCGGCCCCCCCATGTCAACGTTACTCCCCAAACCCATATCCCCTCCCATGTTATCCATGGGGCTTCCCATACTATTCGACATCCCATATTGTCCGTTCTGTATGGCACTTTCCATTCCACCTCCATTCATAACCATTTCGTAGTCTCCTCCACTCGGCATCATACTCCCCGCCTGTGTCATCTCTCCACCGGCAGCAGAATTCAGGTCGACAGCAGGAACTGGTGAACCGGCTTCTGGTTTGGAATCCTCAACCGGATTTGGTTTCTCGCTGTCTTGTTGCTCTTCATCCATGTTACTGTTTTTCCCAGTGGATTTCTTCAGAGCAAAGTTCAGTTCCACTGCATCCCTGTCAGTGACGGTAATTTCCTTAGTTTGAGGTTCATATCCCCGAGCGGTGGCGGTGACCTTGTAGCCCCCCGGGAGCAGAAGTCTCCAATAATCACCGTCTTTAGCTGTGATGACTTCTTTTCTGCGGTTATCAACATGGATAGCAGCACCAGGAATTGGAGAGCCCTGGCTGTCTTTTACAAAACCCTTTACTCCTTTATGGACCTAGGTAAATATAACAAAAAGCAAGAATGTTAAACTCAACTCTCCCTCGGAAGAGGCCTCATCGGAGAACATAGCATTTTTGCAGTTTATATCGGACCTGTTTTTGTTGTCATTTTTGAGAAACAAAAATCTATTTCAAATATGAAGCTTCACAGCAATGCCTTACTGGTCTTACCCGTCGAAGAACTTGCACATCACCCTCTTGCAAAAAGAAGTACAGTATGTTGTCCTTGGTCCGGCCGGTTTCACTTTGTGGTGTAATTTTCGGGAAGAAAATAAGGTTACAATACAAACGAAACTTTCTGAGTTTTCCCGGTGCTAGCGAAGGCGGGAAAATCAAATTGACGCCAACGAACGGTGAATTTTGTTCCGTTATCTTAAGTCTTTTTTTTTTCAAGGTGCCATAAATTACTTGGATATAGTTTGAATTCAGTTATATGCGATTAAGTGCGTTAAGAAAGCTAAGTTTTGATGTACAAGCATACAAGAAATGTTCTTTCGACTTGCAAAAAAAAATTCGGTTGACAAGTTGAATCTTAAAACCAAAGTTAAAGGTAATATTGTAAAGTAAATTTTGTTAAAATTGGTCTCCTTGCTGTAAGTCAATCCTCCCCTGATGTAAAAGTAGCCTGTCTGATCAATAAGTCATCCAAACGTTTCAGTGCATGTTCGTCGCATGTTATTTTCCGAAGTGCTCTAAATGTTATTTGCGCGCCGGTCTTCGGTTACTGTCTTGCATCTGAATTATTTTTTACTTTCGCAAAGACTTGCTAAGATATTGACAAGAGTTTTTGCTGATAACTTTTTAACCATAAACGGAAAGTAGAGCCCCAGCCCAAAAACGTAATCGCCGAAATCATAAACGATCCAGATTGAAGTGACTATCCAATTTTTTGTTTAGGTAAACTGTTTAAGTAATGATCCGGGTAAGGTGGAGAGCAATTTCTTTTGTTATGCGGCAACGGTGCTTTCCACACATAGGAATGTTCTCATTTTTACACCGAGAATGCATAAACCTACATGAAGGCCGTTTTCGCAATAAAATGCATTTACACTCCACTTTGAAAAGGTGTTTTTGTGTTTTGATTTTGACCAATCACAAGAATGGAAAACAATAGCCAAGAAAAGTTTACAATTTTACATGTTCCCCACATAGGATTTCTTTGTTATTCAAACTGAGACCAGATTTTGTTATATGGAAGATGGTTGGAAAGTAAGGATGAATATATGTACCTCTTTATGAAGTTTTGTTAACCTTTGCTGTTTAAGCCAATCAGAAGTAAGTACAGACAATAGAAAAGTTAGCACCTTTTTTACATTCCAACATGTTCGTTGCCGTTGTTGCTATCGTTCTTATCTGGACCGTTTCTTAAAACTAACTCTTTGTTTTTTTAGCCATAAAATTAAAGGTATTTTAAATACTTACCTGATCAATGTAAGCTATCAGCGCTCTTTTGTTTTCTTCCCAGGCTTTAGGAAGCTCAGCGGCCTCTGGGAATTTTTTACATCCCTGCTCTATAGTAACCTCGAAACAATTGGAGTTCACATAGTTATAATCCTGCATCCCTCCTGACACGCTGTACCAAGCAGCACCATTTGTTACTCCATCGTCAAAGTGATCCGGGGGGACCTCAGGACACGGCCATGGTGGGTTTTTGAGGTGCATGGTTGGGTGTGCCATAGAATAACTTTTGGCCAGCTCCTTAAAGACGTCATCATCAGGAGATTTGCTGTATTCATTTTTGCCATTCGGAGCGTCGTCAAAGGGGTAATTTGCTACCAAAGAACCCCCATGTAGGTTCGCACTGAGCACAAAAGGATAGTCATGAATCCACTTCATAACTGCCAGTGTTTCAGGCTGAGGTGGTCCTGTCACACTCCCGAAAAACTGATCTGGAAAATTCCGATTTAAGTCAACGTTGTTAGCATTACTACGCCCAATGATCCAATCCTTGCGATTATTCCCCTCAGCGGCGAGTTCATATCCGTCAGGATTCATACTTGGCATGAGATGAATGCGGGTGGTGTCTAACATCTTAGTAAGGTTTGTATCTCGGCCGTAATTTTCACAGAACTCCTTTGCAAGATGCAGGAGCAGTTCTCGACCGACTGCTTCGTTGCCGTGCATGTTAGCGACGTACTTGAACTCCGGTTCACCAGCTTCATGTTTTCCTGGATTGTCGGATATTTCTATGACCCATATCTTTCGACCCTGTACAGATTTTCCAATGCTGTACAAGCGAGTGATTTTGGGATACTGTCTGTGGAGGCCTTGAAGATATCCAGTCATTTGCATATAGTTATGGTACGTCCAATCCTCCTCACCTAAAGAGCGTCTACTGCTTTTTGGGCGTGAGGAGACTAGAAACACCCGCAAGAATATGAAAATCACCACCAGAACAGGCGATAATCGGCCCATTGTCCACTAAATTAACTTTACGAGGTACCTGCACACGCTTTCACTGTCTGCTGAGGGGTTCATCCAAGATATCAAACAATGTTTAGTTCTTTCTACTCGAAAAGCCTCTTAACCTCAACCTACAATAGCCTCTGTCACGTCATGTTTCGAGTTTCCTTCTCCTGTATTGCAGCTGATGAACAGAACCTCAAAAGTGGAAATGATTCAAGGCAAAGTCCGCTCCTGATTGGCTGGTACCGTGGGAAAGACACGGGTATTGTTTACTTGCCACTTTACAGCGATTGAGTGTTCCAACCAAAATAAACAGGTTGGCTGAATAAAGATGTGACTAAAACCATTACCCCTCGCCCTCTTGAACAACTTGTGATAATTGGTTTCCTTTTGACAAGACAAATCTGACCATCATCTCGCAAGATTGTAATGGGTTATTTTGAGCCACCGACATTTGAGCGTTTTAACCTTTTTAACTGCTTTAGATTCGTGACACTGTAAAGACTATAAAGTAAGTATTGCTGAAATTTAAATTTTGTATTCAGTTCTCAAGCGAATCATCTTTCTCTGGCGCTCACAAAGAAAATCATTTCTCAGTATGATGAGGAGACTGATATTTTCATAGTGTATTCTTGGTAACAAGGTAGACGATGAGAGGAACGACAGTCATTGACAGACAGATTTAGAATCGAATTAGAATAAACAAACTTAAGAGCTTTAAAAGGTTTCGTTCAGAAGACAAACCTCTCTTCTCTTAAATGTACCACTTTTCGCACACTTTTTAGCCTCGACTATTTATTAACATTCAGAATCCAATCCCATGAACGTCAAGTTCACCCAGCTAGTAGACATATGATGAGGAAATACACTTTCACTTCCCAGCTTCCTTTAAGTACAAATACACTGATCAAATTAGCTAAAGGACAACGATGGAACTGCCACCAGACACGGGTTGGAACAACGGCCAACATGGCCGCCGTTTCACTGTTTTTGGGCATCAATAATGACCTTAAGAACCGAGGACGGCGACAGCAGCGAAAACGTCTCTGAAGACGTGAATTCGCGTTCTTTCAATCTTCATTGCAATAGTCCATTTTCAAGTTCGCTATGACCGCTGAATTAAAGAAGTGAAGACGCATTTTTTACAGCCTTAGCCTCAATCTGATGTAATATATTGACAAATTCCAACGAGAAAAAGACATGTTTATTACTCTGTCTATTGTGTATATTCAAATTTCAAACACTTTACTTGCTAGAATTTCTGAATATTTTACTTTACGTCGAGGCTAACCCTGTATGAATGTGTCGTTAATGTTTATATTCAGCGGTAATTTTTAATTCGAAACTGGACTATTACTCCAAATCACTAACTTTGTCAAAAGTAGGTGAACCCTCCTAAAATTGAATTCCTAAGAACCATATCCAAGTTCAGAAATAGAGAGGAAATTTCGTCGTCGCTTGTGTACTTCCTCTGTAAAGCTTGAAATTACATGAAATTAGGCATTTTCACGTCGTAGTCCTGCAGTGACGGCAAAGAAATATACAAAAAAAGTGTGATGCACGTGCAAAATTGTTGTTTTGGTTATTAAACCTATTGCTTTTTTGACGTCCCAGTTTCCGTCGCCGTCGTCGGATCTTAAGGTCTCTATTATCAATGGCCACTGTGATGTCGTGTGAAAACCCTATACTAATTTTTCACAAGTGCTTCGGCTATAGCCTGAATTTCATCCGATTACTTCGAGTTGCTGAGAGGAAAAAACGACTCGAAGCAATCGGATGAAACTCAGACTACTCCGCTAGCCAAAATAGCCTTATTCAGGTGTAAAAATATGTTTCTAAACAGGACAATAAAACTTCAAAGTCATTTAAGTGAAGAATGCCGAAATATACAAGTGAGGTGTGACGTTTCAAATGAAAGCAATACCAAGGGGCCCATTATACAATACAATAATACTCGCCGAAAGGCCAGGCGACTTCACTGGGCTGCCATAAAACCTGGACAATACAGAAATATTGTACTACATGACAATGACAAGTTAACCAGAACAGACAGCGACCATCTTATAAAAGGAAACAACCCACTAAACCCATCCCGATCCACGGGCCTTATTCAACCGAGACTATAAATAGATGATCATAGATAATCTATAATTTATGGTCGACAAAAATATCAGGCGCACCCAACGAGGATATAGTTCAAAACCACTTAACATAACATTGTTGAACGTATTTTAGTATTTAAAGGGTAGATATAGGCATATTTTTATCCCCTAAAAACTTTTCATCTGTTCGGATTTCCTAGCTGAAAGTCTAGTGACCTGAAAATTATAGGGATCAAACCTTACCTTTTCGAAAATTTCAGCCAGGAAAAGGCTCCCGAAAATTCTAGATGGCCTTTTTTAGGGTAAAAGTCCGTTAAAAATGGGTAATTATACCATTTTGGAGATGTTCGAAAATCCTAGGAGAGGCAGGCAAGCCAGAAATTTTACAACAAATGTTCCCAAAATTCTAGATCTCAAATCGTCTTCCGAACAGATATTTTCCGAAAATTGCCGTTGGGTGCCCTGAAATATTCATAAGTTTAAAGATTCTTTCCTATTTTCTTGTTATCTTGCTTCAACTTATTAAACAACGAATTCGTTTCTTTGCATTTTGCGAACTCGAAAAGTTTAAAGATTACTCACAGACTTAAAAAAATGTAAATAGGTCAAACAGTCGCTGAAGACAGTTTTTTTTACCGTAATGCGAGTCTGGGTAATAGTGCTGATGACACGAACCTAAATTGTTTTTTTTCAAGCGATTCATCTCGAAGCTCAATAATTGACCTTTATATAGTTTAAACCTTACATATACTTTATCTCCTCACATTTACAGTGTACGTATTCAGAACACCTTATTCAATAAAATTAAGGGGTTGTGTACTTATCTCGTGTGTGGGTCTATGTGAGGTAATCTATTTATAGTCTTTATATAGGTTTTCTAAAGTTCGCATTCTCGATGGCTTTTAGTTTCCACCCCAGTGAAAGGATATGTATGTTAAAGCGAGCTGTGAACTTTCAAAGTTTATCGAAACTAGCTAATACTAACATCAATCGTGCTTGTTGAATGGGCGGAGACACGCAAAACACTCGATCACGCACAAATTTAATGATACAGATACAAACAAAAGCAAAAACTCTGGGCCACATTGAGAACAACTGTGAAGCTCTAGGATGCTAAGTCACCAAATCTTGTACTAGGAAGTAACTTGCCTTACTACTGTTTCAACTCTGTTTCTCTCAAGTTGGTATTTGAAGTTCCCGGTGAAGCTTTGCGTTCTCGAAGCTTTGCAGCTTATTTGCCCTCTCGCCAGTGAGGCTATGAGATGAACTTGTGTGCGAAATTCTCAAAGTTCCTATATTCGTCGAACGAGTCTTCTTTATCCTAATCAAAAATTTACACCTCCGAAAAGGCGTGTGTTGCATTAAACAGGAAGAAATCAATCTTTAAACTAGTCTCCCTCGCAGCCGTTATTAGGGTCGTCACGCAACGCTCGTCCCCACTAACGGCGGCTCACGATAGCCTGCGAAAGCATCCGTTTCTCCTTCGCTCTTCACGAGAGAGACACATTCCTTTTAGTGGGGAGGAGCGTTGCGTGACGACCCTAATAACGGCTGCGAGGGAGACTATCCTTTAAAGGGGCTATGTCAGCTGGAGAGCATGCGCTCTGAGGTTATGCAAATTACTTTCAACTGTCAAAATTCTATTGTTTTTAACGCGTGACTTTCTCCATGTGCGCTCTGAGGTTATGCAAATTACTTTCAACTGTCAAAATTCTATTGTTTTTAACGCGTGACTTCATGTTCTCTGTCACGTCCAAGGTTCCGAATTTAGAGAGGTTAACAAGCGAAATGGGTTTAGATAAGGGATATTTCGATAGAATTTATAGAACGTTTCTTCTCTGGTTATGCTAGATCAAGAATAAAATTGTGACGACAATTTTACTTGTAGTTTTGAAGTAAAAACGCATGCCATTCATAAAATAGAGCGCAAACAAAAATTCAACAACAACATATTGCCTCATTCAACAAAATAAATGGAAGTTGTATTTTACAAACGAGCTACAAAAGACGCTAGACCGAAGATAAAGACCAAGATTGTTTCAAATCATTAACAATTAGACTTGTCTGTCGCTATTGATTTTATAATTTAGATGCTGATAGAACAAGAGACCAAGTCTTTGTTTTGATCTTAGGGAAACATACATTATCGCGAAAAATTGTTCTATCGTGCCGAATCACTGCGACGTCGAGAAAAACAGAACCCAGCATCATTGGCATACTACTCCACTATAAGCAGTCCGTTGATAAAAAGGGAAAGTAAACTCTGCTATTTTCCAAAATTATGCTCGAACACAAACAGTTCAAAAACATGGCATTTACAGGATCTAACTCGTACTAAGGTGCCTCTCTAACTCCGTTGAGAACAATCTGGACGAGCAAACGGTCGTGTTTATCTTTGCCGTGAATCGAGATAAATACAAGAAGGAATCTAGCCGAATTTTAGAATGTTTCCTTCGCCAGGAGTTTAGTTTCGTCACGAAACTCATGGCCTGATGCTCTTGTAATCGTTTACAAAAAACGGCCGCCGCCAACTCGATAGCCGCTTCATTATATGTCCACATACTTTGAGCACAAGAAAAATCCAAGAGCCAGCAGCCTCTAAAATAACTCAATAGAAAGGTCCTGTGAACTATAGGGAAGATTCCATCAAAGATTCCATCAAAGATTCCATCACTCATTGTGGAGGAGCCGTCATTAACTCTGCCATTACAACGGCCGCTGATAAGAGGACACAGTAAATCCACGTAAAAACATTCCACAGGCAAACAATTTTAAAATAACGCCAAAAAATTGTTCTGTAATCACCATAGAACGATTCTTAATACAAAACTTCGCTAACTATCGAACGATGGCTGAGATTTAGACAGATAAAAACAGCCTTCCAAAATCTCCGACACAACTTGAAAAAGTTGGGCTGTCTTTTTCAAGTTTGTTTTCATTGGCTCGCGCATGCGTGTTGGGTGACATAGTCCCTTTAAACGGTCGGCATTATATTCTACCCACCAAAACCACATCGATCGAGAGGGACTGAGATTGAATTTTGGACACCTTGTGACATGTTATACCAAAGAAAGATGCCTACGATGTTTTGATGTATTCGCCTCTCGGGGATGCGCGTTTCTTTTGCTTTGAGCTTTATTATATTTAGGAGATAGCGTTCTCGCCAACAAAGGATGAATATAACGAGTATAACTGTATTTTGGCAAATATTGCACATGAAGTTTTAAAACATGTTTCAGATATTTCATGGGGCTACGTGATACACATCTAGCCCCGAACACTGTTGGTGGTTTTGGTGGATGTTGAAGTCTACATCCACCAAAACCACTCGACCTGTCCAGACCGCACATATGAGCCCTTACCTATAACCATTCTTAAATCTCCAAAGAGGCAAGGGTTTTAATTTTTTTAGGCGCATAGTTACGCTTCTGCAAAGTACTGACGGACTTTTTAAGACCATGCTCATAAAGCATAATAATTATTGACACAATGAAAATTTTAATCATGGTTTTTATATAAGTTGTTATTGTTTACACATGCAAAATATTTTATTTTTTTACTTTTTTTATTATTATTATTTTTATTGGTTTAATGTGCACTTGTGAGCAGCACACTTACACTTCCAGTGAACATTTTCACTTGGAGGAACTTAGGAGAAACCATGGGCGCGATCCATTCAACCAAAATCCCAACCGGTCCGACCGGGAAAAGTGGTCCACCTCAAAAGGTGGACCCGTTTTTTCGAAACTTTTCCGGTTGGACCGAACCGATCCATTGAGTTTTGGACCGAAATTTCCGGAAATTTTGGTTGAATGGATCGCGCCCCATGTTCGTCCGGGGTAACGAAAATTTTCGTGTACCAGGCGAGAATCGAACTCGCGACCTTCCAAATCCCATCATTCCCGGGAAACAAACAGGAAGATCATGGCGGGAATTTTAAGTTACGAACCCACATTCGATAGGAAAATATTGCTGAGAATTTTGGATATGTTTCTTCCGTCCAAGAGGTTTATAAACTCATCGCAGAGTTTGAAACGAGATCGACGATCAAGTTTTCCTGCTTCAAAGTGGACAAAGATTTTGGGAACATTGGTGTGTATCTAAGATTCATCTATTACTGCGCTTTTCATAAACATGCGAATTCTGAAGTTCAAAAGCCAACTGACGATTGCGTTTTTCGCTGCTGTCAATTATCTTAACGGACCTCTTAGGAAACAAAACTTTACTTTAACGGGTTCAAAAGGTCAAGGTTTGTGATTTGTGATTGGTGGATTTCGATCCGTTCTGTGTGTTTCTGTGTTTCAAGGTCTTTCAAGGTTCGTTGCTTTAGATTGTAATTATGATTGGGGGCAGCGAAAATCGCCATTGTGAATGTACATTTAAAAATAAGTTTTACAAATTTAGAATTTTCGAAATCAATCATAAATAATTTTGGAAGTCAATATAGTCGATAAAATCCATGCCGGAAAGAATCCTCTTCTTGCGGGGTGGGGGGAATATAAAGCTCGCTGCAATTTACACCTAGCTACCCTGGTTCCAGAGGTTGTTCTTGATTTTTCTCCGCGTGAGAAAGAACGAGCACTTACCAGCGAGCTTGGCGATTCGTTCTCGCCGCTTTACTCATTTCCAACATCTTACTAACATCTCAGTCATTATGCATGAAACTGTACCCCCTGATATATTTTCTGCACCCCACAACTGTGAAATGGACGCAGCCTTTCTCGAGCCTTTCTCTTTCTTTTCAGCTCCCAGTACAGAAGTGTAGTACACTCTGCTGGTATAGTAGAATTCCGACTTCACTAACGCTAGAGCCCTGGTGGTTCAGTGGTTAGAACCTCCGATCTAGTGTTCGGATGTTCGGTTGTTCGTGCATATCATCCCTGATCCGTACATTTTCCGAGATTCTTCGGTTACGACTTTTAAGTTATTCAAAATTCAATCTCAGTCCCTCTCGATCGATGTGGTTTTGGTGGGTAGAATATAATGCCGACCCCTTTAAACAGACTCGGCGAAGATGGACAAACATGCTTTATGGATCACGCAACGCCCCCTGCGTTACTGGGTTAATAATTAAAAGCGTTTTTTTCTCCGAATAGGAGGTATACTTTCTCAAAGTCCTTCGCCTCTCGTTTCCGGTAGTAGGCCCTAGCGACAGCTCCTGCTCTCTCGCTCGCTTTGCCACCGAAAACATAAAAAATTTCTGGCTCGCGCTTTGCGCTCGAGAAAAATTTGGAACTCGACTTGCGTGCAAGTCTATGTAGCAGACCCAAAAATTCCGAAACCAAATTTACGAACTGGGGGTACCTTGAGGCAGCCCAGTTAATTAGACGACAATACAAGGGGTGGATTCATTTGCAACAGAAGCTTTTGTATATAGCCGTCGAATTTGATCGCTGGCGTTTTTCATTGCGTTTGAGCTTAAAGACTAACATTTCTAACGGGTGAACGCTACGGCTATTCGCGTATGTTGCAGTTAATCTACCCAAAATTTACCGTCGTTGACCGGTTTGTCTAAGTACGCGGTGCAAGGGTTGATTTTCCATGAAAGTCTCTGTCCACAGTGTACTGGTCTACAGTTTTGTCTATCGTTCATGAATCAAAAAAAGTCACTCAAAAGGGTGCAATAAACTGTCTTTTATATTTGAACTTTCACGAACTTTTACAAAATAATTCTGCTACGAACCACAAATCGTATAAATAACGTGTGTGCAGCAGACACTTCGCTACACCTCAACATATTTACAACTTTAAACGAACCATACCCTAAAAGTATACTTAAAGGTAGCGTATTTACTTTACGGTCTTCTGTCCCTTCCGGCGTGGACAGACATGATGATAACTCATGATAGATACACCTAAAAGACAAGAAGAGTGAAATGAAGGTATTTACCTTGCGCCAGAGCAACGTGGCATACAATATTTGAGAAACATTACTGACAATAACGGCGACTGAAAAAATCCAAGATCCTCTAAGAGCATTCCGGCTCAAAAACTCTTTTTCACTACAATACCGTTGCTTGACCTATAACATTTAAAAACGTCTTGGTGAGATCAAAGGGCAAACATATTCCTGACGAGCGGCGAATTCTGTCTGCATACGTCATTTTTAACATTTATGCCACCCTGCTGTACAATTTTCTCTCGTAGTTTACGTAAAAACGAATAAATTAACAATGGAACGATACTAAGCCATCCATAAAGGAAACTTTTTTAAGTCAACAGGGTTGGACTGGATGGTTTTGAAAAACCAAGAAAACAAAGTCATTAACCTTTATTCAGTTTACAGTTATGACTTGAACATGCGAGGAAACGTTAACTTAGGGCATTTTTACATGGAGGTGGGGGAACCTAGGTAGGTGAGGAAACCCGCCTGTCCATATAATCTCTCATTTCAATTTGATCACGTTTACATCATAGTTGGGGTGACCATATGAGAGATTATATGGACAGGCGAGTTACCCTATCTATAAACCGGGTTGCTTTACCTACCTGGGGTCCCCCACTTCCATGCATGTAAACAAGCCCTTAAACGTTTCAACAGCGCAAGCTTATATAAAAGTTCCTATACTGCATGAGTGGTAGACTATCCGCAAAGATTTGCCAAATTCTATTTTGAAGGGTCTATGTCACGCTATTTGCTATCATTTTTTCAGCTAAAACTTGTCGGCGCATCAATTGAACTCTAAAAAAAATGGTCCAGTTTTGTTATTTAAGACTTCATTTAGGCACGGAAAATGTTCCCTATGGTCTGTTGCAACGGATAGCAAGGAGTTTCTAGTTTTAATGCTTTGCCTGCACAATAATAGAAAAAATGATCGTTAGCGCCCCCTGATGCTGTATGTATGATGTCTTCATCATAAATCTTCAGGAGCAGTTTGTGAATTAGTAAAGACACTGAGTAATGACTTTAGCACAGAATTGACCTAAAACAGCAATATCTTCGTTACATAGCCCCTTTAAGCAAAACACGCGGCCATCAAAATGGCTACCTAAGTCGAGAAAAGACAGCTAAAGCCTACTTGCTCCAGGTCTTTGAAAAAGAATCCCTGTCGTTAGGTTTTTGATCCCATGCATGAACTGCCGGAACTGTATAAATACCACAAAGAGCTGTTGTTCAATGAATACCACAAAACCGGTATCAAAGCAAGATTAAAGTGTTTAACGGTGTGTGCATGTTGGGGTTCAATGAGTCGTGTGTTCAACTTCATTCCACTGTGTTTTTGCGAACATTAATAGGTCTCAAGGTCAACGACAATAACCATATACACCCATGACAAGATTACACTGCAGGTAAAACGGTGTTCACTGTGTTTTCCGGGTGGGAGCATATGCTATAACGGAGTTTCTTCCAGCTTGTTTAAATCCGGTACACGAGTTCCTGATTTGCTCGTTATCTCTTTAGGAGGAGTCAGAGGTTTCAGTCCAGTAAATGGAGTTCCCAACTTAGTGTCTCGATCTTCATTTCCAATTTCGCTTTCTGACGCAGGTCGGGAAGTTTTTCTCGGTAAGGGCGCTAAATGTTCAGTAGAAGGACTGACAGGTCTGTCCGAAAAAGTGAAATTCACTGGTTCTGATAACGTTTGTTTATGAATGTGGCCTTGAAGCGACAAAGCGGATTGTCCTGCCCAGGGGGATAGAGCACCGAAAGTACGAGATTCAGGACTTTCACGTTTGGCTGCCGGCGGTTTGTGGGTTGGATAAGTGTTATGTGTTAGATGAGCGAGGTTTTTATGCTGAAGAGGCTGAAGGCGAACTTCTCCAAGAGGTTTGTGAGATGCACTGATTGTTAGTGGCCCAAGGTGAGACACAGCCTGTTCAAAAGAAAACACTGAATAAAAAACGAGCCATTTAACGAACAAGGCAGCTAGGGAAAAACATTGTTTTCTAATATAAAAACATAAATAAATAAATAAAAGGACGCCAATGTTTTTAGTTATTCTGAACCTTCAAATTCCATCAGATCACAATGAAATTCTTCTACAAGGACTATAAAAATACAGCATAAGAAAGCGCCATATCAGATCAAGCAAGACGACATTCCATCCTACGGGAAATTGGTGGGAGTCACTCAGGGTCCTCTTTTCTTCAAGCCCCGTTATTTTGAAGGAAAAATGAATCGCGCCAATGAGAAACTTTCCAGCCACTTTTACTTTCTGTCAATTTCGCATGGGACGGAAAGTTGTCACGATCGATGAAAAATTGTAACTCGTGGGACTGAGTGAATTGACAACAACGACGTTATATTCTGCCACTCAAATCAAACCCCAAACGTACTCGGTTCATTAAGAGATAAAGAAGGCTTGCCTCAACATGACCAGGGATAAAGTTAACGCTGGTAGCACAATCTAAACGTACCTTTTCACTGGAAGGTAGTTTTCCGATGGCTTTATGCGGACGCATATCAAAAGACTGCAAACAAGAAAATGCCGGATAGTTTTTCAGTTTTCTTTTTCAGCAGAAAAGAATAAAGCAATCTCTTGTATTCTACCTGCACTTCGGTGCTTCTACTCCACTCTCCCATTCTGCTTAATTCGCTACAAGGAAAAAATAATAAAAAGAAACCTTTTGTTATTGATATATCTTCCCTCGGAATTTTAATCCAATAAACATAAAGTGTTATAAACGTCGATAAGACTCGGCAGGGATGGAAAAAAATCTGCTTCAGGGGTTAGTGTGTAGGTAACAGGAGCGGAGAGAAATCGATGAGGGATAAATTAAACCCGCGCCTAACAGTAAAACACGTTCAGAGGTTAAGAGTTTCACACTTAAGGCTAAGGGCGTGTAATTACAACGAAGATGAAGGTTCTTAGTCTTGGCTACCTAACGTCTTGACAATGGGATGGCCAAAATGAAAAAAGACTCAAAACGCGGTTTTGTTGACTAACATTGAATAAACTCTGTTTTCGTCACAAGGCCTAAAAGTTTGCTTACCCTTGTGATTCTAAAGGATGATGCTTGGACTGAGCAGGCAAACTGGACATCTGCAGACAAAAAACACAAAATTATTGACCCTCTACGACTAAGAAGAAACGAAAAGTCAACCACTGCCTTGCTCCCACCAAAAGCTGAAATAGCCTACCCCACCACGGGGTACTCGACCAAAATCAGGGTTTGAGCCAGGCCGCGCCATTACGCCAATCCCACACTGCAATTGGAATTGTCCCTTTAAAAAACGGCCAAGGGGACAATTTGTGCCCTTCAAAATTTAGGGAAAAAACTCGAAAGGAAGCACACACGAAGAGATTTATTTCGGTACAGAAGTTGCAAGCTGAAACAGAACGTGGAAAGCATATTTTATCGCACCTTTAAAGTTCATTCCAAAGTTACGTTTCAGTCACGCTCTACTGTTATTTTTTTCGGAAATCTAAGACAGGGCTTCTGATTTTTCGCGCGGTCGCGGAGCCGCGAAATTCGGTAGAAATCTTATCAAATACATGTCTGTCCAACATATTTGAAACTTATTTCAGCTATAGGGGCTATTTACTTGCCGTAAACTTGCAAATTTATCTTGGAACTTCGTCACTGAAACGTGCAAACAGATTATGTTGCGAAAAACTGGGCACTAGCCATCATGTTAAAGGCTTTGCCATTGGTTCATTTCTGGAGCGTATTGTTGTTGAAAGAGCAAATAATGACCTCTGTTAGAAAAACGTTAAAAAGGCTGGTCTGATCAGCGCAAAACCGATCGATTTCTAGCGAAATCGGCCGTTTTTTACCGATTGCTTCTCGGTGAAGTTTGCCCCGAAAACTCCCGCGAAATCGGCCGATTTTTCCGCGAATTTGTCCCTAAAAATCCCGCGAAATTTGACTTTTTCGTCCGAGACCTATCAGAAGCCCTGCTAAGAAGGAAGGGTGTACAAATTTCTGTCCCCCTAAAAATGAAAATGTCCCCCAAAATTTTAGCCAAGGGGAGAAATTGTCCCCCAGTGATCAAATCCTAGCTCAAACCCTGCCAAAATTTAGGTATAGGTGAGCCGCTCAGGGTTTCAAACCCTGACCCTATTTTAGAACAAAAAATCCTAGAAATACATACCCTGTTTAGGACAACAACCTCAATTCTATTACGTTGTTTAGGAAAAAGGACAATAATATGCACACCGTCTTGTCTTGAAGTTATTGGGACAGATTCGTACGAAAATTATATACCTCGTTTAGGACCGACTCACGCGAAATTATATACCCTGTTTGAGAAGGAGAGGATAAAAACCTTACGCTCAGCGGCACATCCCCATATAGGCCATATGAGGGATTTTTTGCGCCGTCCCCATTGTAAAATGCAGGAAGGGTCGCAACCGGATATCACGCCAGGGGCCAAAGAAGAGAAAATAAGTTAATGAACACAGCCAACTTACCGGTGAAGGGTGGGGGAAAGATAGCAGTAAACGCCTCCCCCCCTTTCCCTCACAATGAGAAAGCTTCTACGGCAGAGTATTTGAGAAGCTATCTCCTCCTAAACACATGACTTTCAAAGAGAATCAGGCAAGCAACCCTTAACTGACCTGCTGAAGTTTTTTCCTCTTTTTCTTCTTGTCTCTTTTTTCTTGGCTTGAGACATTCCTAGGTTGGTTTTCTTCTCCACTTAAGTCTTGCCTCCTGCAAGGATAACACAGTTCATTCGCTACATTTGTTGTAGAGGTTATGCTACAAACCAAGTTGTAATCTACCGTTTTCACTCTGACTGTTTTTCTTTGCGAGCTTTTTAGCTTTGCCTTGCAAGTTGAAGGGCCATAAGGTTGTAAAACGCTCACAACCATAAAGCCGTTAGGCTGGCAGCCAGGTAGTATGAAAATGGGGAGTAAGAATGGAGTCGGAAATTGGATTGTAAGCTTAAAAAAAGACAAATTGAAGTAGCCCCTATAGCGTTGGCAAAAATTTCAACTGAAACAAGCTTGCTCCATTCTTGTCGCATTTGGAACGAGTTGCACAATCTACAGAAAACATTACCACAGTGAATCCTGACGCTGTTTCACATGAGAAGCTCCATAATCATAGTTTGGTATTGACAAGTCTGACTTAGAACCTCTTCTTTCTGTGTTCATACCCATTGGAATGGAAAAATTCGGCTGAAGAGCTTCTTCTCGACTGGAAGTGCCAGAATCTAGCAACAACAAAAAGGGAGATTAGCATGCTGTACTCCGAAGGCATTCCTTCCTTTGTGCATCTCATTCTGTACGTGGTGTTTATTCCAAGGGTACTAGAATCTCTCCTCTTCTCTGGGATAGGGAGGCCGACATATTTGCAGTCTCCCTTTCCCCTGACACAGTAACCGGAAGATATTTGCAGGTTTTTTTCCTGGAGGTGATAAGGGAGGGTATTTGGAGCCTCCCTTACCCCTGGTGTTAATGTGTGACTGAGAAGCACTTTTAAATCGTGGGTAGAGCATAAACGCCTCACTTCTAGCAAAATTATCCTAGTGAACCTCACTGTCCTTAATTTAGTAGTCCTTCAGGTGGCACAAACTAACGCTTATGTTTCGACAATTACAGCAAACATAAAATACGGCCACCAATAACTTCAACCACAGCAATAATTATACTATACTTGATTTTGTGAACTAAAAGTTTAAGTTACAAGTCAGCTAGATAAAAACCGCCGGTTTACCTTGCTGTCGAACATTACCTCCTGATTGTTTGCTTTGATGCTCTGAGGCCTGCAGGAAATAAAAGTTTGGTAATACATACAACGATTTAAAACTGAACAATTTAACAGACAACAATTCGTACATATTGTCAGAAAGGCTACAGGAAATGGAAGGGAAACTGGAACATAACTCATAGATGATTACGGGCCTACCCTACAAAACTTGCCCCGCAGCAGTGCAGGTCATTAACAGTTACAAACCTCATTTCTTGAAATATGCTGTTGTGGTCTGGATTTGACTGAAGCTGACCCATCTCTGTCTTTTTTCTTCCCAAGGATGACAGATTTTGTTTTTCTTATTTCCTCTGCAATTGTGGATGAGCCATAAGCCTGAAAATAATGTCCAAACCATAAAATAGCCACAATGTATTTAGCCGGAAGCATAGTCATTTCTTGACTCACTCTATGTGAGACTGTCATACAAGATTATTCTCATTTTAAACGTAACGTTACAGAGCTAAAGAAACCACGACGGCGTTGGCAGCGAAAAGGTCACAGTGAATTCGCGCTTCTTTAAATACATCAATATTATTCCACGTTGTGCAATTTGTCAAATGTTGACGAATTGGTGTGGAGGAGGTAAATTGCATCCAAGTTGTGACTGAGAAAGAAAGAAAATCATTGTCTTGGGTTCGCGGCCACCATAAACGTGAAATTAGAAAGTTTCAAATCGTGGTCGCTCAGTGACGGCAAAAACATGAACAAAAAGGGGTGCTGAACGTGCAGAATTAACCTGCAAGCAAGCTTTCAATTTGGAATCCGCGTGAGAAGTCCGTCCTACGCCTCTCGCTCGCGCGGCATGGAGAGCTAACGCTCGCAGGCTACTGCACAGTTGTTCATAAAGCTACTGTTTTTTTTCCAGTGCCGTTCTCGTTGCCGTTATCGCGTTTGTTAAGGCTATGTCTACATTATACCACGGACCTCTTGTGCCGGCACCAAAACCCAATCGGATCGGGCTTTTGTTCACACATGACAACGGTGATTTTAGAGCGGTTTCTGTCAGTAAAGGTGGGAGGCTGTGCTGCACTGGTCTTAAAAGTGGATTGTTACGTTTCGGATAGGTTTCAGTGCCAATCTTCGTGACCGCACGTACTGAACAGGTGTTCATGTCCACATGATACTGAGCTGTCAAGTATAATGTACACATAGCCTGATTGACCTTTACAATACAGAATACCTTTGGATTCTTTTGTTGTTCAAACTCAGACTCTTCAGTTCCAGGAAAAAAGCTGTAATTAGCAGCAACAAGATGACTGGTGTGAGAGGCAGCAGCTGATTTACCCTTCATTTTATAGTCTTCTTCACTACCTGTATCACTTTGGGTAACATTAGTTGTGTTAGTTCTTTCCTCTGCTTGAAAACCTGTTCTTGACAAACTGCTATTTCCACCACCTTGCGAAACAAAATTACGGGGTTTTATATCAGCAGAACTGTAAACCACAGATTTGACTGATGAAGAGCTACTGTTTGACATTTCTGCATTAGTGACAGATGAGGAAATCTCCGGCATTTCCGAGGGTTCATGTTCATTACTTGTATTCATGACTTGTACATTATCGACGATTGTGTCCTTATGTTTCTCTTTAGATGTCATTTGTTGCATCACGAGTTTCTTTTCATCACTAAAATCTTTGCCAAGAGGAAGACTTCCATGTGCATTACCCTTTGCATCTTGAGGAGCTTGTGTTTTTACACTTTGTGAACTCTCAGATGGTTTCAGACCATGTGAATAGCTTCCCTTATGGGTAAAATGTCGTGATTTACCACCACTGTCATTCTTTCTTGTGACATGTTTCATTTCAACTCCCTCTTTGTCCTTTAATGTACTTTCAAATGTTTCCCTTTCTTGCCGAAAAGCAGGGTGATTGTAAGCATCAATGATTGAAAATCGGTCTTTTGGATCAAGCTGTAGTGTTGCCTAAAAACACATCCAGGTAAGTTTTAATTCAACAGAGTGAACAACAAAGTATGCCTGCATTTCCTTTGGCGCCTGCGCATATTAAAACACATGTAAGGCTAAAGGAAAAGTAAAACGGGCAACAAAACACGTACAACTTTCGTTTTGTAACATTGTTGAAAAACGGATTGAAAAGTGAAGTTGCGCCGCATCTTACCACCCACATTCAGGCCTGTCCGGCTTGCAACAAATCAGCCTGTTGCAGGTTGCTAAAAGTTGTTCCAGAAAGTAGAGAGTAGTTCTACCTTTTTTCGACAAAATCTGTACTTGTTGGGCGTTTTACCGGCCCAAGACAAACTTGAATATGCATTACTCAAAAGGACTTCAAACAAACAATATATTTTTCGAACAAAGGAAGGATAACTATTTGCTCGTTGACACATTCGGTTACGGGTCATTTCAAAGTCGTTTCGATACACGTTTACTCAGACGAGGTGTAAATAGTTTCACGTCCTTGGCTTAAAGAACGAAGAATATTCACCCAAAATGTTTTTCTTGTTCACGCACAAACTATAATTGAAGTGAACGAAATTTTTGTGCAATTTCACTGCTCGAAACCGTATCGAGTAGTACTAGCGTACTGTACTCGTATCCGGAAACGACCGGTTTCCAGACAGTCGCACAGATTGTGTGCTCTTATGTAGGCCAGTCACGAGAGCAGTATCCATCTAACAGCTGGCTGCTATATTGGAAGCTTCTTGTTTGGGCACCCCTCCTTCATTTTGGCAATGCAATTGTTGATATTCTGCTTAACTATTTCGTCAATATAGCTGCCTATGTGAGCCCATAACACTTACTTGCATAAAGCTAAGCATAATTCCACTGATTACTCCAGCATATTTCCTTCCTAAAGTCTGTGGAGTAATTGTGGTGGGAAACTGTGGAAAGATGTTTCATTAACCTTTAGTGCATTGTCACAACAAGCATAAAATATTACAACGGTTGAACCTCAACTACACTTTAAAAGTCATCTCTCCACAATAAGACCCCCATGCTGGGGGTTCATTGGTCTACCAATTGTGCATTTTAGGCCAGGGGTGAAAAGTAATTTCTACCACTATGAATAAAAATAGGTAAGTTAACCTTTTCAAACAAGAAACGATTGGCATTATTTTTAACTGGGACTTACAATAACGCACCCTCTTCCCGCCTTCAATCCAGTTCTGCCCCCAAAAAGACAGCGTGACAGAAAAAAAATTACTGTCGTTCAATACTTCTAAAACGTGACAAGGTCAATTTCTTGGGTTTCAAACATTGTTATATAACTGTTTCTTTAAACTCGCAGAGCAAATTTAGTTTCAGTTTTTTTCTGTCGGATACTGGATTTAAAGCCTTTGTAACTATCTAAGTGAATATGTTTCTATTTGACGGTGAGATCTACAAATAGCATATTTCTTTCTTGTATTAAAAGGAAAGACTTTTCACATGCAGGTACAGAATATTGCAACGAGCTGAAGCTTTTCCTGTGGGGACGTGGAAGGGCATTGTTTCTACAGCTACCGCGCAGGTTAACTACCTTATTCGAATAGTGTATTTTGATAATCATTTGGCGTAGATATAGGGCCAATAAATCCACGCAATAATTTTGAGTTCGTTTCAAAACGGACTTCCAAATCTGTTCGCCGTCCCCTCCCCGCAAAAATCGGCCCCATTGAAGGGGGAATGGGACACGCAAAGCCCTCAGGGTATTCCGCCCGCCATTTTGTCTGTTTTCGACATAGATGGATAAGGTAATTCTTGATTGGGCGTTGCCCTCATGGGCAGCCCAATAATGAACAGTTTTTTGTTTCAGCAGATGTCATAATATAGGGAATATATGTCATCAATATAACTGAATAGCAAATTGAATGAAAGCACTAGTGAGCTCTGCAAAACCCTGAAAACCTTAGTTTTTGTCAACTAGTTTTGACTCTGCATCATAATACTGTAAAATATCTATTACCTATGTTAAACAGCTAATCAGATGATTGTTTACCTTGAGCCCTTTAAATCGTGGATTACTGTAAAACATCTCCATTTGATCAGGTGGAAGAGCACCTAGAACCTGAAATATTTCACATATTGCCATTTTACACCCCTATTCTGCCACAAACCTATGAAGTAATATTAGAATTAAATTGTTTTGGTAATTCAGGGCTGTCAAATTCAGTAATAAAACTGGTTTCTATACTTCTCCCTAATTTCTTAAAATTGTAGGATCCTGGAGAATCAAAGCATATATAAAGAAAATTTTATTTCTTTCACTTTATCTTTTTTGGACATTTTAGAGGTGGCTCTGAGCACTCGATCCCCCACGATACTATCAAACTTTTTCCTTTGCTAAAACTTGTCTTTTAAATGCAATATGCTCATCACAATTTACTTTAATAACAGAAATGGGAATGACCAAGCTTGGCTATCGAAAGTTATACCATTGTTTTGACAACCTGATAAATGCTAATAAAAGGAACTTAAATTGAGTTGTTCAAAACTACCTGGGACGGTGATTTCATTTCATTTGTATTTGATGCGTCTATTATAGCACAAACAGTATAAGCAAAGGTTTAGTGCTGGTAAGATTTATAGAAATATTGTTCTTAGTCACCCTGAGTAATTAACCAGGTAGTAAATTAACCGATTATTGAGTTTCCCTTCACAAAACATAGCATGATTAAACTAATATGACTTTTTTGTCATGCACCAACCTTTTGTATTGTAAATAGTTGATCTATTTCACTCTCTCCCGGAAAGACAGGCTACCAGGAAGGACAAAATAAAGTAAGTATCATGAGATTATCATCAACAGAATTTTCAAGAACATCGACAAAAATAACTACTTAGAAGACACATTGTAAATGTTGGAAACATCTACACAAAGGCAGCCAATTTTTGCAATCTCATGACCTGAATTCTATTAGAAGCACTTAGAAGAAAATCAATATAATTGCAACTCTATTATATAGCATTCATACATTAAGTATTGATGCCTTTGTTACCTGGCCATCGCTGAGTTCTCCCAGTATACAACCAATAGCCCAGATGTCCACAGGTTTACCATAAGGTGCCCTGCAATAGTTTCCAAATTTTTATGAGTTGTAGCAATTACTATCAACCAAATAAAAGGTTCTGTGAACACTCTAAAATATTTTAGGAAAGTTTATTGTGTTATGACCAACAAATGCGAGTAAGCAAGAAAACTACAGACTTTATTACCATGTTGCAGCTGCTTGTGGTTAAGTTTTTGCATGCCTGATGGGCTTTTCCTTTTCAAAACAAGAACTTTTCATAAAAATAACAATATTTCTGGTGTTATTTACTAGGGCACTTCATTGCTCAACTTTCACAAAAAAATCTTGTCGGTGGCCAGCTGGCCTCCAAGTTTTCATTTTTGGTCACCAGAGCAAGCATTCTAGTCGCCAAAAGTTATACATTTTTATTCTAGTGAAACTGCAAGATTCCTTAACCCTTTAGACCCTAAGAGTGATCAGCATCAAATTTCTCCTTGAAATAGCGATGCTTTGTAAAACAAAAGTTGTAATGAGAATTAAGGACATGATCACAAGATGTATTTGCTTGATATTTTGTCAACTTCTCCCCATTACTTCTATAGTAAATCAATACTTTAATTTTATACTAGAATTTAATTTAGATCTTAGGGTTTAAAGGGTTAATACAGTGTTGTGCAAAGTCCAAGTGTTGGCCCACCAAGCAATACTAGAGCACATCAATTGCTCTCTAAGAAGGGTATTAAAGTTTGTGCCTCTTGTGTGGAAATCATTTGAGTGTCAAGCACAGAAATTATATGAAAATTAAGAATAAAAGCATGACAACGTGAGGTGGCTGTTATAAAGTCATGTGTTTTCCCAGCTTACCCCAGAAGAAGTTCAGGAGACCTATACCAACGAGTAGCAACATAATCTGTAAACTGACCACTGCCATTAACAGTCATGGCTCTAGCAAAACCTGCGGTTATAATAAATATAGGATTAAATGTGGATGAAAATTACCTATGTGCTCTCTATGACCTCATACCACAGGCTTATAGATAATAAACAAACATACTGATCAGTCAACAGTTGATTGTAAGACTCTACTCAACACTTGATGATGCTGGGTGACAGGAGCATTTAAAAAACTGTTTTTAACAATGCAACAGAAAGTAAAATGCATAACATACATAACATGTCAACAATTTATAATAATTTTTAATTCACAAATACTTTTCAACTTTTCCTTTTACAATCTCATCTATTTTTTCTTAAAGAATTTTATTTTATCTTACCAAAGTCACAAAGCTTCAAGATGCCATCATTGCTAATTAACAAATTTTCTGGTTTAATATCTGGCAACAAAAAGTAGAAATGAATATACCGTATAAGATTAATTCAATCATTGCGGTGTCAAGTAATCGTGTTCCACCTTTCAATTGCATCAAGCACTCAAAGGTTTTTCTACTAGGTCTGTGTATGATATTATTTAACTTTTCCCATTCAAGTAATTTAATGTACTTTAAATTGTGTTCATGACTGTCCTATCAATATTTCAAACAAAAATAACATATTCAGTACTTACTTATTTCTCTTCAAAGCACATTACAGTAACTATTGATGGCTGAATACTAATGTATAATCTATTTGGACATGCTTCAAGTTGAAATGAGCTGAATATAATAAACAGCCCAACTTCCTTTTTTCATAATATAGTGAAAACCATTAGTTTAAATATTGATCCTACTAATCAAGCACAAGACATTATACCCCAGGAACAGCACTGTCCCCTACAATTCTGCCAAGTGGATCTTCCTAAGACGCAAACATACTATTTTCAGGAGAGCCAACAATCATGACAAGTTTTAAAATGGGAATAATACCTCGATGAATCACATCATTCTGGTGACACCACTTAATGGCTTTAATGAGCTGAAAAATATAGCCCCTAGAGAGAGAAGATTTAAAGCATAAGAAGTGACCTTACATGTATTCTAAAAGAGTCAAGTATGTAAAATGCATGTATACTAGTATTATTTGCAAACCAGCTGCCTCAAGGAGACAAAACATGGGAGGGTGAAAATGAAACAAGACACCACAGACTAAGTTAGTTATAAAGATCCATGCATCAACTGATTAAGATACGTTTGCGATTTTTTCTGGTCATATCATCACATAGTTTGGCACCAGTACAAAATGCAAGTCTGTGGACTACCCGATAAATTTTAGCAACAATTACTGAAACCGCCACAATCGTAGTTAAGTTTTGTAAGAAACAATACGAGGTTAGGACCCTACAGTGTTGCAATAATTCCAACCTGCTCAGTTTTTTTAAGTGTAGGGCTGGCAAACTTTCCTGGACTTGAATATTCTATTCCTAAGAACCAGATCAAAGAACTTAAGAATACACAGAAACACATCCATATTGGTTTACCAGGGCAGTGAAGGAAGTAATTTACATCAGAGTCCACAGACAATTGAGTCTAGAGAAGATACAACCTTCCAGTCATCTGGATCAGACCAATCAGGTCACAAGTCACAAAGTAGTGACAAAAATTTAAGTACATGCAAATGATTCAAGTGTAACAACGAGTTGTAACTTCAACTGAACTTGTGAGAGCAGGTTTGTCAGAATGTTTGGAGGAATGTGGATAAATAATGTTCAATTTAGCAGCTAAAGAATCCCATAGGTTTATTAAAAACTATGTAGGTGGGTTTTTTTTGGTTGCTGACAGCTATTTCTGGCAATCAAGATTGGAAAGGTCAAGGTTTATATAATGTAGTTCTCCAATGCAATGCAATTTCATTTCTTGGAATTTACAAATAAAAAATCCCAAATTATCAGGTGAACCTGTGCATGCATAACACTACAACTGAACTTTCAGCACTTAGCATAAAAGTGCATCTGAATAAACTAAGGTAAAACAATCATTTTGAATTGGATGCATAATACCAAAAGACACACGATGAAGCTCGTTTATGGGAAGCAAATTATAAATCAGTGAATACCAATAACTAAACCGTGGACATTATGTACACTTTGTTTTTGCCAGAGGTGCTGCATGAACAGTATATACTTAACTTACATACTATACTTTTGACCCATAAATACTAATAATTACCCATTCCATACTCTAGAGAGACTCTGAGAAGTTTAAACAAAGGAGAAAAACAACCTACATGTAGGATCAGAACCCGCTTTTTATTTATTTATTTTTTAAATTTAATTTTGACTAACCTCACTTTGTGTGATGGAACTCCATTGGGCATTTCCTCCAGCAATTCAAGCATATTCTGCAAGCAAATTTTTAAACTTATTAAATCCTGTTATTACTGTCTTGTCATATGATGTTTTAAATAACCAGTAAGCAATGATTTGCACTGCATGCTCAAAATTGTTACTAGATACACTAACTTACTCTTTCCACATATTCAAACACTAAATACAGTTTTCCTCTTCTGCGAAAAGCTTCCCTGCAAACAAGGAAAAATCAAGTCAAAAGTTAAATAAATCTAAGAGCCCAGTTACAAATTCAGGCAAGTTTTCCTTGGAAGGGAAGTTTAACATGTGTAAATGGGAAAACTTGGAAAGCTTTTACTGGTAAAATCAAAACTTTCCAAGTCTAGGTCTTTTGAGCAAGCCAAGTTTTACTCATAAGAATAATGTTGACTCGAAAGGAAGACTTCCTAGTCTCGCTGCCAAAGGAGGTTTGTAATAAACACTGAGCTTTAATCACCTTGCTATGGTGTAACAAAGTGATTATCAGTCCCTACCAGGATATTCTTACACTCAGCACTGAATTAATTGAACAAGTAATTTATCAACTAATGGTGTAATTAATTAGTTAATAAATAATCAATTATTAATCCTGCTCATCAAAATTTTTTTCGAGGATAGTATAAAATGACTTTTGGGTTAGTATATACATGCTACCCACAGCTACCCAAAGGGCAAGCTGTACAACTTACTTTCTTTCCACCCTGCTACTCTAAATTTTTCTTGTTGCTTTTTACAAGTAACTGAACTGACCATCTCATCTCAAATAAAATATTGGCCCTCTTTATCACAAGGAGACACTGTATTATACTTTATTGTAATTATATTTTATTGCAATTATGCGAATCTAGAAGTTTAACAGACATCACTTTGTCATATTTCCAGGAACCCCTTTATTTACATGTACATATCTTACTGACTCATTAATAAATTATTAGAGAGGAATTGAAAGGAAATGGAAAATTATGGGTGTCAACACATTGCTAGAAGCCTTTTAATATAATTGCGCTTTATTATTCAACTTTTATCAGTAGAGTACTGTACAAATAACGCCTAAAATGAATACAAATATCTCATGGTATTTGTACTCCAGAGGACTGGTTTGACCTAACCTGAGATCAGGCTCTATTTTCGTTTCGCTTTGAAAATTACATTCCGGCGGGCAAGACGAAACGAAAAGAGAGCCTGATACAAACCTTTACCGAAATGTCTGCCGCCCACTTTTTTGACTGATTGACATTTGCCGAATCAGCCAATCAGAATTACTTCTGTTGCTTGTTTTTCTAGTATGCAAATTTTTCACGCATGGGAAACATGCAGACTGGCTAACTTAAAAAATAGCTTTTATCTGTTAATTTTTTCAGCTAAAAATAAAGCAGTCAGCACAATCACATTTAACTTGCGAGATTAAGGGAGATCTCGAAGGTTACTTCTGTTGGCGTAGAAGGTGAACATTTTTCAAAAAGACGGCAACACAATGTTCTACTAGTTTTATTTTGGCTAGGCACTCTGGAATTTAAAATAGTGAAATCTCTATTTTTCCGTT